ATATAGCATTACGTTAGTAGTTTAAGAGCAAAAAAATAAGCCAGTAGTTTCATATAATTGTAGAGCAAATATGGGACTTATCTCTATTCAGTGTGGTGTTGTGGCAGGTGTTTTGTGTTACACTCAATTTTTTTTATTTTAAATGGTATATGCATCTGTCGGTCATGTTGCACTATATTATCGGCACAGTACTCCCAAAAAGGCCATTCCCATTTGAACTCTCTGTACTTAGCAATTTATTTTCTATCACAGATCACCGGGAATCTATTTCTTATCATTTTCCAGAAGCCGTGTGTATTAATCAGTATTTTTATTCCGCCATCATTTCACTTGAATATCAAAGAACGCAGCGGCTCGCTCTGGACTTATTAGTTAGGCCTCTTCCTTTTACTTCGGTTATGTCTCCAAACTCAGTCGAAGTTTTGAATGTTAAGCGCATAGAAACCGCAAGCTAATGCGTGGAACGGCGAAGTCGATGCCTTAAAAGAAAAGCTTAAGACAAGTATTAAAACCCGTTTGTACGCGCTGATTATTTGCAAAAACAGCTGTTTTATTGCACAACTGCAGTTAAATTTTATTCCTCGTGGATTTTAAAACTTCATCCTTTGCTCTTCTATCGTAGATGGTTTATATTTCAATAGTTAGGTGAAAATGACGTCGAATTACATCCCACGATTCTCCAACAATTTTTTTTAACATCCGTAACGATTTTGATAGTGAACGTAACATGAACACGCTTTCTCAACAACGAATTTAAATCACTAGGGGGTTATAATATAATACTTTATTGTGTTTTCCCTGGTGCGAACGAATTCTTTCAATTAGTATCCTCCGACGTTTGGAAGAGAAGTAGTCGTTAGGAAGTTAAGCTTATGGTTTACTATAGTCTAGGCTATTTATTCAATTCGTATACGTCGATAATTCTTTTTTTCCAAGAGAACATTACAATGGCCAGTATGTGTGTACAAGGCCGTGATAAATGTGCTTCTTTTACTTTAAATAGCCACAGTAACTTGAGGCTTAGAAGTTTTAACTCTGTGGGCAAGTTGGGTAGATATCAAATATTCTCAGCCCAGCCTTATAGCGAACACATGTCCACTGTAATTGTCATACGTTTAGTCTGTGGTTATTATTACTGAGTTCTTCTAACCAAGAAAAGGTGAGTGTTGGTCTAACGTGGAAGGTCTATCCCCATTGAGAATAAAGAAAATAACAAAATTAAGTTGTTATACAATGCAGCAAGTCATTAAAAAAATGGTATCAATAAAGTATCTTTTATAGATTTTTTTATACTAATTATGCCAAACATTTCTCATAAATAAGCGATCGTATCCTTATTAATAATACAATCTAGTATAATTCAATATTGTTGAGATTATATTAACAATATAATTGTATTGTTCCTTTATTATGTTTTTTGTTGTTCCAGAATTTTTAATCTGCGAAAATGCCATTCCCGTTTGCCCTTTCCACAAAACTACACAGCGTCAACACTATCTTACTGTATCGAAAACCGAGATTGTCTGGGGACAGCTCATGTACGTTTCCTGGAGTTCTGCTAGTAGTTGGTGTTGTCGTCAGTTTCTATTCGAACAACAAAAGAATAACATTATTCGACAACGCTAAGGAAATTTTCGCATTTCACTACCTCTTGAACTGAAAATTGCTGAAAAAGGTTCGATTATAGAGGACGAAATAGTGTTGCTAGCCGTCGACATGTCGAGGCAAACAAATAAATCGGCGGACAGCAAAAAAGTGGTACGTAAGCACCATCGGATTTTGCTGTTTACTTCCAAGCGCTATTGACGCGATCATTCGTATTTCAAAGTTTCTAGCAAGAAATTTTTTAATCACATATTGTTTAAAAAAAGTTTTGTGCTAAGAGTATATACTAGTTTTCAACAAATATCTCTGCTCATATGATATGTATCGATAAATTAATGTCACAAAATTTCCGTTAAGGAAACTAAGAATTTATAGCACATGTCGATGACAAGGTTTGGACCAAAAACCGTTTCTCAGAGATTTAACCATCGAAGAAACCGAACCGGGGAAACTGCAAAGTGCATGTATGTTATATGCGGTTATCTTGAGTGTTTTCTTTGTTGAGTGTTAATTTCAGAACAATGAACTGTTCACTTTAACATATGGCGCGCTTGTGGCTCAAATGCTCAAGGATCATGAAAACTGCGAAGAGGTTTGTTTACAATTTGAGAAATGGATACATATCATTTGCAAACTGTAACAGGGTAACAGAGCTATAATCGATATTTAAACTCTTACTTGTAATTAAAGTAATCAATACAAAATTTTAAACATATTGGAAGTCCTTATAATTGCTGCAAGAGCAATTATTTGCTTTTAATATTTTTAAAAATTTTATTTTTTAAATTTTTACTTTAATATTTTTTATTTTTTATATATATTTTATATATTTAATATGATTGATTTAAATGCCTTTCATTTTGCGTTTAATTAAGCCGCCTAGAGCGGGTTTAAGGTCTACTTTTATCAACTAAAAGCCAACTGAATTGATAGTTAGCTGTGTTTTGTACTTTTGATATGCTGTGTTTCCATTTTGTACTGCCATTTTATAACCGATATCAGGTGAACAAACAGCTGGAACGAATGGGTTATAGTATTGGGCAACGACTTATTGAAGACTTTCTTGCGAGAACTAACTGTACGCGATGCGTTGACTTGCGGGATACAGCAGAGAAAATTCAGGTGAGCAACTAGTTCAGTTCCTTTTCCACTTTATTTATGTGACTACGGCTACAACACTGTTTGCTTACCTTTAGCCTATTAATACACTTAATTATGCATTGGTATATTGGTATTCACGAACTAATCTACAGGCATTTTTTCAAACATCATACAAAAGAATGCACATGCCCAATCGTATTTCTTCTTCAACTAATTAAGATGTATGTATTAAAATACTTGCCTAGTCGACCGTAAAGGTAATTTCGGGTTCTTTGTTATTCGATGTAATTCGTGGAAAGTTCGTGGAGCAGGTATGTTTTATTCATTCTTTGCGCCTTCATTTCAGTTGGCCTTCAAGATGTACCTGACAATGAGTCCATCCGTGACAAACTGGAGCACCTCAGGCGACGAGTTTTCACTGGTTTTCGACTCAAATCCACTCACAGAGTTTGTTGAACTACCCGACAGTTATAGCACAATGCTTAAATACTGCAGCATCATTCCAGGCATTATTCGTGGAGCGCTCGAAATGGTTCGCTATTAAAAAATTCAACTCATTAAAAATGAGGGCATTTGTAGTTTGTTCATTAGCGATAATTACCTCAGAGCCCCACTTTGCGATATAACTTGGTGACCTACTGCGCGTAAACACATAGCTCTGGGGCAGCGTTTTCGTCCAAATTACTTTACTGTATTGTCGTTTTTTCATAATTTCGTTGATGAAATGTAGGCCTTCTGCATCGTCAATGGAAACAACGATCCGAACCAATATTTTGTTTTGTTTTTCCATCATTAACTTCACCATCATTAGATGTTTGACCTGCTAAATTAAACAAGACTCGAGAGATCTTGCGGACGTGTCGAGCATTACGACTCAATTAAAAGTGTTACAAAAAATGCGACTCCATTGAAATAGACTTTTATCAGTTTTGCAACTGCCCAGCTTTTAAGTTGCTTAACCTATTTAAAACGTGCAGGTTTGTGTGGAGAGCTTAGTAACTGTATTAACTGATTTATAACAGCTAAAATCATATATTTCGAGAGAGAGCCCTTATGTGCATGTTAATTCCGCGCTCTGCCATCTCCTGGAACCATTACAAATCAGTTTTTTTTTATCCTAAAGACGATTGTCTTTTCGCTTTTTTGTACACCACTTCCGATACTTAATATTCTTCTTGATGATACCAACACCCTACCCTTCACATTCTAGGCTACATTGTAAAACTTCTTACTTTGATATTACGACCATATCATAGTTACAGAAGCACGGAAATCATTCAAACTCAATGTAGTTATCATCAAGTAGATGAGAGTAACGAATAATATATCTCGAATCATCTTTGTCCTTCCATAACTGATATCGGAATTTCATGTAGTGGCTCGAATGATCATACATGTTCTGGCCGAGAGTCATTGTACCACATATCTCAATAAATATCCCTTCCACTGCAGTTGAAGACTTCTCCTCTAGCGACAGTGTCGTCACATGTGCTATCACTAGAAAGTACGAGGTAAACGGTTTTTGCATGATAATGTGGGCCCAGGATATGGCCGTGCCTGAGAGATGGTGTGAAATTGCATTTGAAAAATAAAAACTGAGTTGCAATAGCGATCACAGCCAGGGGTGCGAGACGGAATAATATTATCCGAGACTACTTTCCTCTCCACAGAGCTCTCGATTTACGTCGAAGCTGAATTACTACTAGTCATACTTGCCTAACACCATAGTGGGTAAATTTCAGGTGCAAATGGAGGTAATGTGTTGGTTTGTTCAGGATACCCTTAGGGGTGATCCCTCGACCGAGCTACGTATTCGGATGGTAAAGAAAATGGAAGACGCCATTCCTGTTGGAGAGAACTAGGTCTCGCAGGTCTCTAGATAAATCACCATTATCTTTTCATAAAAAGAAAAATGTTATTATTTGAGTTAAGCTTGATGAGTTATACAAAAAAAACACAAAGTACTCGCCGATTGAAAAAAAGAATTAGTGTAATGAAATAAACTAATATTTATATAACTAGTATTGTTATATTAAAATAGTGTGACTACTTTTGTCAGGGTCGTGTATGTGAGGTATTCAGTGTCTGCTTTATAGTATCTATGATAGTCTGCTTAGTGGATCTGAGATCATTTTGCGCACAGATAGTTATAATTCTCAGCATCATAAATCTGTCACACTTCTACTACGTATCTTGTTTTTGATTAAAATCTTCAGCGACCTCAGTTATTGTCTCTCAATTTGTTCTATACATGGACCTTACCCATATTCGCTTCCCTTTAGCTGTTGGTATTTACCAGTTAGCGTATGCGGAATTCCACAGCATAAAATAGCAACACTTTGTTGCATAAAATTGCAATTATTTTGCAAGTTTTGTATTCTGCATACTGTTGAAAAGTAACAACCTGTTTCTCGCTGCTGCCCATCCTAAATTCTTGTTTGTAATGGAGAAGCATCACCATGCCGCCTCTTTGAGAGCGAAGATTCGGACATTATATTTCATAATAATAGACATGCTTTCTATGAAATTGTGATGCATTAATTCACCATCCGAGTACAGCACTTCGAAAAGTAGGCAGTTCGAAACCTACGTCTATAACTTGCCGTGTCCTTTCAAGCGAATACGTTAACACAAGGAATTAAGTACCTAATGTATTTTGCGTAAGCGATGCAACTTTTTGTGCAATTAAGTTCAACATTAAAAAGCGTTTTCTGTTGTTGTATTGTAGGTCAAGATTAATATATGGCACGATAATTTATTCCTTGGGGAAACTTTAGGCTAAAGGTTGACAAAATAATAGTTATCGGTTATCGAATGTATTTCTGCCTTGTCAAATCACTTCAGCACATCTGTAGCGAGTTCTTTTTCGGTTGAAAATTGGTGTAATGAGTTCTCATTCGGTTGAAAACTGATGTAATGTGTTTCTTCTATCTTAATTGTTTTAAAACCGTTTTTCAGGGAGTGAAAAGCTATTATTTTCTACCGTTCGAAAGCGTAGTTCTGAATTCATACGCGATTACATTATATTAATTATATAATTAAAAATATTGCTGTGATGAGCGTGCTTATATTTAGGTTGTAATACTCTCGCTCTACAACGTTTTTCCTTTGGATATGGATTAACAATACCAACAATATATGTTCACCATTTTACTGTGCATGACCAGACAATAAACTACTGCAGTGGCCACTCTATATTCGTCTGCTTTCTAAATCTAGCTGATGTACCTTATGATATTGCACTACATATATATCACCTAGAAAAGTTCAGCCTGAAGAAAGATGACTGATTGTACCTATATGACAATAGGGAGTAAAATGCTTAGCCTAATATGACATTATTTTCTACTACATTATCTTCTACCCAATGCAAAAAGACTTATCATGTTAAGGTAAAACTATTTCCTACTATTGTACCCGATGCAAGGGGACTAACTAATGGAAAAACGCTAGTGATTTGAAGATATCGTATAGAGAAATTTCTAAAATGGAAAAACGCTGGTAATTTGAAGATGTCGTGTAGAGAAATTTCTATTTTTAGTTCGTTTATTATACAAAAACAAAAGTTACCATTTTCTTGTATCCCAATAATTTTATGATCATATTGGGTCGTTTTTCAACTGCCACATGTAATTAGCAAAGCCACGGGAATGGCAGAGGGGAATATTATTCAGCGACAATTGATCATAATATCTTCGACTGTTTCAAAAGTGATGTGTTCGAGAATAGACTTTGTCTTGATGCTCTCCTCGTGATTTTGGATAAAGATGTCATTGACACCTTGAGCCTTCCATCCGAACCGGTCCATCCATGTCTTGAGGTCCTTGTCTTTCACATTAAGAAACTCACACAACATTCGCTTGTCGATCCTCTGGTACGTCATATTCACGACGATACCGATGTAGTTTCGAATAGCGTCCTCGAAGCCCACGACGGCATCCGCTTCACGCAGCTCACTGGACAGTGTAGACCATACTCTCTGTAGCTCGCAGGTCTCTAAATCGCTAGAAAATTTAACAGTATAAGATGCAACAATGTTTAAAAACAACGACTATCTCTAAGCAATGGTTATCACTAACAAGTTCGTTTATCATTTTGACAATTGGTTTGCTAAAATTTTCGATTAAAAAATAGAGTATTTTTAGTAAATTACTTCAAGCTGCATGGATCCTATAAACATTTGATAATAGATAAACAAAACCTGCAGTAGTAATAAAAACTTAGTTCGAAGTTATTTCTTATCTCAGCACTTACCTGTGCAACCTCATGATCGTATCTATCGTACGGTCACTTTGATGACTAAGATCGATGAGGCATTTACAGAGAACAAAGTCTGAATGGGGCAAATTCGTCAACGCCTTAAGGAGGATCTGTGCGATGATCTGTTCAAAAATCATAACCATTTGAATTAACAATGCGATGGCTCAGCTTTGGACAGAATAGTAACCTTGAATTGTATTGCGTACAGTTTGATTAAAAACAGATGAACATAAGCTAGTTAAAGTAATTGGTAAGACACTAGAAACGTTTAGATTGACGATGTGATTAAAAACTGGGTGTATATGTTTTACTATCGAATGCGGTTCTCACAATAGAATTTTTAGGTCATCTTTTCGTCTCAAGTGTTCACGTTTATTTAGCACCTGTCTGATACCATGAGGGATCCTTCAGTAAACGATAATCTAGAATTTTAAATATTGAGTTTTATACATCTTTATGGTAAAAATCAATTGTGACTCAATGTGTGTGTCTTATATGTTCGTTACATTAATTAACTGATTAATTGACTAGATATATAGGCAGAGAGTCTAAGATAATATCATGAATGATTATTCATACCTGCAACTTCACAACCAAGGGATTAAACTGGTACAGCTTAAGAACGGCCAGGTTTGCTTCAAGGTCATAGAAATTTGCCCTGCATTGTAAATCCACAAAATTTTCCAAGAACGGCAAGTTGTCCGGATTGTACCTGTAAATATTATATGTATGTATATTATCATGTAAGTTCCGATTATATATATTATAAAGTAATAAATTTACAAAGTAGACGCGACCTTGTGAAAATAATAAAAATATGCTTCGCAAACGTATGCACTGATCCGTTATACGTTTTCCACATATTCACCAAAAAAAGCGTGTTATTATTCTATATAGAGTTAGTGTCTGATGATGAAACTACAATTACTATGAAATTATTCATGCCGATCAATAAAGTAAATAGCGGATTGCAGTTTCACTCAGATAGTGCTAAATTTAAAGTAGCCGTCACCTCTTTGATGCCCTCCTGAACCAAACTGACTGCACATATTGCTTTGGATTAAGGTCATTCCGTTTTTGCTTAATCAGTAAGAGACTGGCGAAAGTTTGAAATAAGTTATTAGAATGGTAGTTGTTTGAATAAGCAGCATGTAAGCATACGGATCAGTACCGGCATTGCGATTCTAATTCTCTAAATCTCTAACTAAACAAGCAACACAAGAAACACTTCTGCATTGTTTATTCTTTTGCTATGAGCCAATTATAAATATGGGATTTAATCAGAGTTTTCCTGGTATAAACATGCCAGTGCATTTTGATAATTTTTGGTCCTGCTATATTTATATAGAATTTGTCGAGCATATGACACAACCTACCTATCAAGCTCCTGAAGCATTCGGGCGATAGTAGACTTAGCACCCTCGACCTGTTCCTTCGACGGGACTTGCTGACTATCGAAAAACGTCATTTTTAATGATAAATCGACCAATATTCGACAAAAGTGTGAGTAACTGGTAATCACGAAACGTGTTTCGTTGTCGAACGCGATCGCTGATGAGAGTTTTGCGTTTGACAGACGGGCGCCTCACAAAACAAATAATTTCATGTAAAAAACAATATTCGTCCATAGATTTCTTTGCAAAGTACTTGTTCTAACCAAAAAGTTTTGCCTGTTAACTATTTTCGTGCTGACTATTACTCGACCATTTTAATTTATAAAACGTAATTTCGTCGAGCGAATGAACGCATTTTTGTTTTGTGGGTCGCATTTGCGAGATAGCAGACGCTCTCAATGATTTAAGCGGCAATTGGAGGCTAAGCACGTTGTGCGGTTACACGCGGCTCCTAAAGCGGCGCAGCAAAAGTGTGTGTCGAGTTGGTGTTCACCAGTAAGTGGACCCATCGAGTCCCGATCCCAGCCCCAGCTGGCCAGCATCTGACCAGTCTGTGTGTGTCGTGCCCCTCGAGTAAGTGAAGTGAGTGTGAGATTCGAAACAGTAGCCAGTAACAACCATGGACGACCAAGCAGGCGCTCTCCTTCAAGACTTAATGTCGACGGACAACGAGACTCGAGAGAAAGCCGAAAGACAATTCGACAATATCCAACCACCACAGAAGCTTCTGTTTCTTCTGTCGTGCTATTCGCTACCGGGTCAGACGGGTGATCAGCGTCTGTTGTCAATGATCTTGCTACGACGGTTGATAACGTCAGAGTTCGGCAAGTTTTATCCGGCGTTGCCACCTGAACATCAACAACAACTAAAGGAACATCTACTCAACAGTATTCAGGCTGAAATCACTCCTCAAGTGCGTAACCGTATCTGTGAATGTGCGGCTGAGCTGGCGCGCAAACTTGCCGATGAAGAACTGAACGTGCCTTGGCCTGAGCTGCAGGAACGGTTAGTACAATGGGCTTCCAACCCGAATGAGGCCTGGAGACATGCAGCACTTCACATTTTCGCCGATTTTCCCCATGTGTTTGGGGCCGGCAACCCAGCCAGCTTGGAACTTATCAAAAGCATGCTCCATGCCAGCCTACAAGCACAGGATTCAATGCGAGTTAGGACCGAAGCAGCAAAAGCAATGTCCTCTTTGCTCAAAAGTCCTATCATGGCTACTCCTGACAGACAGGCAGCATTCGTCGATCTAATCCCGCTCATTATTAAACTACTGGCCGATCAGAAGAATCAAGATGTTGACATTACAGTGCTGGAGTCTGTCATTGAAATCAGCGAAAACTGCCCCAAGATAATGCGACCTCATCTTGTCGAGCTACTTGACGTCGTGCTAGCTTATTTACAAGACGGTAATACACTTGAAAGCCGGCGGGTTCTCTGTCTTGAGGTGGTGGTTACTTTATGCGAGCGTGCTCCGGCTATGATGCGTAGGTTAGGCCAACGGCACATTGATGCGTTACTGCCGATCATATTGAAAATGATGGCCACCATTGAGGAAGATCCCACCTGGGACACGAACGACAATGCCGATCAAGATGAGTTTGAGAGTGATACAACTTCTACAATGGGCGAAAGCTCGCTCGATCGTTTAGCTATCGCACTAGGAGGTAAACAACTATTGCCAACAGCAATGACAGTTCTGACTCCGATGCTGAATTCTGCGAACTGGATGGAGCGACATGCTGCGCTCATGGCCATTTCGGCTATGGGCGAAGGATGCATGAAACATATGATGCCGATGCTCGACCAGATTGTTGACGGAGTGCTGAATTTTCTAGGTGACTCGCACCCCCGTGTTCGTTACGCCGCTATTAATGGCCTGGGGCAGATGGCGAATGATTTCTCACCTACGTTTGAGAAGAAGTTTCACGCTACTGTTTTGCCACGTCTATGCGAGATTCTAGCTGACAACAGTCACCCGCGAGTGCAAGCACACGCTGGAGCCGCGCTTGTAAACTTTTTCGAGGAATGTCCAAAAAGGATAATGGTGCAGTACTTAAACGTAATCGCTCCACCTCTTGCTTCAATTCTGCAGAACAAAATGAGCGAATTGGTGACGCGCGGTGTGAAACGCGTCTTGGAGCAAGTTCTTGTTACGACATCCGCACTGGCTGACACTTGCTCAAGCGATTTTTCACCATACTACGACAGTTTTGTACCATCGATTAAATACATTATCGAAAATGCCAACTCAACCGAGCTTGAACTACTGCGGGGCAAGGCTATCGAGTGTATTTCGCTTATCGGGTCAGCTGTGGGCAAGGAACGTTTTGCGCCCGAGGCCAGCGGTGTAATGGATTTGCTGTTGCAAAGTCAAGTAACAAATACACTTTCCGAGGATTCACAGATTCTCTCGTACATGATTTATGGCTGGATGCGACTCTGTAAGCTTCTTGGCAAGGATTTCGAAAAATATCTGCCATTCGTGATGCCCTCTGTAATGAAAACAGCTGCGCTAGATCCTCAAACGGCGGTACTGGATGAAGATGAAGTGCCTGCAGAGACAAATGGTGAGGAGTGGACCTACGTGCCCTGCGATGATCATAAGTCGTTTGGCATTCGCACGGTTGGTTTGGAAGAAAAAGCAACCGCGTTCGAGATGCTACTTTGCTATGCAAAGGAACTGAAGGAGGGCTTCGGCCCGTACGTTGTTGACGTTCTAAAGGTAAGTCATTGTTTCTTTGTTATGTTTCGTCATGCTGTGTTTATACTGCAATTTTGCATTTCTTCCTTTAACTTATTATTTATGCTGAATAAATTCATGTATGCAATTCGTAATGCCATTCTTTCAGATTACATTGCCCACCCTCAAGTTTTATTTCCATGAAGGGGTTCGCATTTCAGCCGCAGGTTGTGTACCGGAACTACTGAAGTGTGCTAAAGTCAATAACATGAACGTATTAGCAATGTGGCGGCAAGCGGCACCCCATATACTCTCGGCGTTGGAAAGGGAACACGATATGGAGGTGATGCCAGAACTAATAGAGTGTCTGGCACATTGCGTCGGCGTGGTCGGACGACCAGGCCTTAATGAGGAGATTGTCAAGGAAACGATGGATCACGTGATGAAATTCTTGCAACAGCACTACGAACGTAGCCAAGAACGAAACGAACGACGGAAAGACGAGGACTATGATGATGACGTTGAAGACCAGTTATTGATGGAAGGCGAAGCGGACAGCTACATCCTTACACGAATCGAGGAGCTAATTCGGCAGCTCTGCAAGGCCATTGGTGTTACAATAGTACCTTACCTTGATCCGGTGGTGCCATTGTTTGAGCGTCTTATACAACCCGACCGTCCGATTGTCGAGATTCAGTGGGCTATTTGCTTCTATGACGATATCGCAGAGTGTGTAGGCGAATTGGCAGCAGTCCGCTACAAGGATATTTTCGTGCCCAAACTTATTGAGTATATTACACATCAGTCACCTGAGATTCGCCAAGCATCTAGTTACGGAATCGGTATCATAGCGAAGTATGGCGGAGAACAATTGACACCGTTTTTGACGCAAGCATTGCCACGTCTCGTCGAAGTTATTACACGGGCGGACAGTCGAGCAGCTGCGAATGTGTGTGCTACGGAAAACGCCATATCGGCTGTGGCGAAGGTTATTATGCATCGACCAGCAGCTGTTTCGAATATGGATGAACTAATCAGCGCGTACGTTAGATGGCTACCTATTACCGAAGATGTGGAAGAAATTTCCCCGTGTTTCGAACTCGTCTGTGTTTTGATGGAGCAGAACAACCAGGCACTGCTGGGAGCGAACAACGAAAATCTGCCTCATATTGTCATGTGTATGGCTGAAGTGTTTGCGTCCAAATCGCTCGCGAAAGACACTCCTGTCGCTCAGAGGTGTGTTGTTTTACTCAAAGCGATCCAGGCTAATCAGGAAATGTTTCAGGCGTGCCTCGTGCAGTTGACCCCTCACCAGCAGGAGGGATTACAGTATGCATTGTCGTAGGGACGGTGCTTTCCAATTTGTTCATACAAACACCTCAGACACGTAATTTCCCAAGATCAGCAAGAAAGAGTTTAGAAACCGAAAAGAAATAGGAAAGTCGATAAAGCATGGCGTTGCAGATATGCTACGATAGACATGGTCATGTAGACATATAACGAACCTGGAAAATAAAACCTAATAAATAAAAGAACGAATCGATTTACCGATCACACGGAGAACTTGCTGGCCAAGAAAGGGATCCTTAAGACGTTCCTTGTACCCTTGTGGAAATATAACGATGAGTAGATGAGTGTCGACAAAGGTGTACTGTGTAGCCTCCACGGAAGAAGCTGTTATATTCCGTAGCTGTGAATGATTAATTGGTAGACTGGTACGTTAACTAATTGTCTGTCTATACGGTTAGCAACGAAAGGAGAAGCAATTCGAAAGCAACGTGACATAGATCTGAATAAAAGTTGTGGGCTATATTTATACATGCATATTATGTAGTATGGGAGATACCCAGAACTGCAGCAGATACCCAGAACTGCGGCAGCCTGAGCTGAAGGACGCATTGTTACCGAAAGAAATAAACAGGGGGTATAATAATCAGTAGTAATCATGAGAATGGTGTAAGCCGTTTTCGGGGTTGGGAGTTCCGTATAGTAGACGGCTTGACGGCTTACTTTGATGGTTGTTGCCACATATGAGGCAAAAACAGTAAATTACACGTTGTACATTTAATTCCTCTTTTTATTGAAGAATTAAAAACGGAAGTTTATAAAATGTGTTTTTCATGTATCTATTAATGTGTCAGGTGTGTCGTGCACGCTTCTGTAGTTTTACGGGAAATTGTTCCAATACGAGGCAGTTTATAACTCAGTTCCAACACGAGACAGTTTATTACTCAACTCTAACTGTGGAGGAAAATGCTTGTTTTTTAACACTAGTCTATTTTGCCAACCCTAAATATCTTATCTTCCGTTGTTACAAAATGAAAACTGAATAAAAATCTGTTGCATGAAGGCATAAGCGAAAGCAGCGATCTGAAGAACATGAATCAAGAGTAGCATTATTACAAAGATACTAGCAGTTAAAGTAATCAATCTATATAATAAGGAGAGACCACTTGTCATGTAAGTAGAAGGTTGCGGAAGAATATTTCATTGCAATTAAGTATAGGAAAAACAATCGATTTATCCTATTAGCTTGTGATTTCTAGTGTACTTATTTTTGAAAGATCACTATCAGTCATTAATGAAATCTGTGATTGAGAAAATACCAAAGCACCTGCATTTCGCTATAAGAAGTACAGGTACCTCTGTTTAAAAGCGTGTTTCGGCAAGGACGTCTAGAAATTGATCGAGTCATAACATCGATAAATATGCGTAGATACTCAACTTATGAATATACATTTTTTGGAACACCACTTCGTCATTTCAAGTCGTAGAACTAGGCCAATTTTGCACTTCGGGTGGTATATTTTTATACGCTTCTATAATGTAACATCACAACTCTTTTCACAATAACTGTCGGTCGTCAACTTGTGTTGACGATTAAGTCTGTCGGCCATAGGCTAATGTCTCTGGTACATGCGTGAGTTAAACCGATAATAGATTTGCGTATGACAAAATTTTATCTCACGAAATGTAGTTGAGCTTGCATAACTATCCCTTAGGTATATGTAATGAATGATCGTTAGAAACGTCCAACAAGCCCAAGAAATGGATTTTCACCCCATTGCTGAACGGACAAACAGATATCGCCAGCGGCAATAAACATAATAAGAAAAGGACTGACTGTGAAATTTAAAAAGGTAATTTTTATTGGGTAGTTTATTTTATTAGGCATACGCTTCTAAATTGTCTAAGCTTAACGTTATGCTAAGTTAAAATAGTTCAGTATCTGTCTTCTTACTGTTCTACAAAAATGTTTCCTTTTTCGTGGCGCTCAAATCCCTCAGCACTGTGAGAAGATATATTTTATGTTTGACTTGTCTTTGGTAAGGCTGCAATGAACACTGATCATGCGTATTGATTATATCACTAAGGTGATATTTGATCCATTCATACACTGCGTTGATAAATGTATTCGAGGCTATACGGTACCTACATCAAGCATCGATGAATCGTAGGATCGCTTACTGACAAATGGTTGCGGGCAAGCATTTTTGTGTGTTCACTTTAATCCATTCTTCCAGTAGGTTAGGCAAATTTAGCAAATCATATTATTTCAACTATCATGTAACTTAGTTTTTTTTAAATTATGTATATATGTTGTGTATATATAACATGCATAATGCGATTTCTAATACTGCTTAGTATTTTGTCGAAATGAAAGTGCTATGGGGCAGGTAAGTCACTCATATGGGTGACACCGGTTGACTCCTTGTCTGTCTTGTCACTTTATCAGGTACTGAAGTATGTTTACCCAAACGGCAATCATATGCCCAAACAATATTCGGAGTATTTGCGATAATTTTTGGCAAAAGAGATGAGAACGTGTTACTAAACTTTATAATATTAATCTTACGGGAAACAAATGTTAAATACGGGTGGTCATATGGCGGAGCCTTAGTAATCGGAGGTAACAGATCAAAGTATTCGAAACATGTCATCAAGTAATCAAATTAGTTTCTTCTTATCTGATCTTTTCTGCGATTTACTTATTTACAACAGCTCTCATGAAACAGGTGAGAATTGATGCGTGCAATCGAACCCATCTGGTAATTTAATAGTTTTATGGTGGCACCCAAATACTGAAGATCTTTCTTTAGTTTTCTAGATTTGATAAATATTTTTACCATATTCTACCAACTGAGCAGATCAAGTAATAAAAGCCATTGCAAGTTTCTTTAAACAAATCGAGATATTTCTAACTTACTTGGTGGCTTTTCAGCTGCTAGCGTCAGTTACAATAGACAATAATAAATTTAACGACTTCCTATTTCAAATGCAGTATTTCATATAACGCATACAATTCTTTCAGCTAATGAAGGCGAAGACCTGCGAGGTGCCACACCGGTCCGGAATAGCCTTAATTATGGGTCTAAGAAAAACAGAAAAGTAATTCCCTGCCACATAATTACAAATATATGAGTATGTATTGAAGCAAATGGATGTCTGAAAATGGCAGCTGCTTCACAGTATTGTCCAAATGTCCGTCAAAAATTGAATATAAAAAGGTCCAACATTTCAGCTAATATTATTTGACAGCCCAAAACCGGCTTGCCTCTCTGGCGGGCTACCCGGTAACTTGTGCAGAAATGATTAAATAGTCATCAGTTCAGTAACTCATATTTTTTTTCTTAATTTTCATAAGCGTATGGACTTCAGCCTTGCTTATACCTTAAAAGAGTAAGCAAGGTAAAGCATTGTGAAATTCTGCGAATAAACTCGCGAATAAATAAATAAATAAAAAGGTGTATGATTATGTTGTACGAGTTTTTTTCGTCGTGCCGCAGAACCTTTAACAACTGACGCCGTGCAGATCTACCTATATTGGAACATGTATGTGTTCAATACAATTTCAGACCAGGTTTAGCTTAGTCGATTTCTCACTAAATGATCACCACTAGATCCGCCAATCAACGTGATAGATTACTAAGTAACGTATTTGCCAGGTAGTATTAGTGACACGTCGAGATCTAGGTTCAAATCCGACCGTAAACACACTTCGTTCAGTGCTGAGAGCTAGGCAAACAATAGAATGCCTAATGATGAGTCCAGACGTAGAGCTTGAAAACCACAGATAGACGGACGAAATATCCCGCTGTTTAGTTTAAATCAACGGAACATCGATAAATAAATAACCGACTTCACACAAATTTTGCCTTAGGCGGTGTGTCTTTCAGATCAATGTAGCATCGGAAGATACATTGCAGAGAACTCGAATTTCTTTTGTGTTGTTAGATGTTTTCAACAAGATTGCCAACGACAAAGAAAAGAAATTAACGTGCTGCAAGTGATTGGAGAGGTAACTTAAGGCTATTGGTAGAAAAACGGAGACGTGCCTGAAGAGAGTTTCATAGAGCACTTTGAGAAACTCGAACCAAAAACATGATTTCGCGTTGGCGACTGACGACTGAAAGTTATACATTGACAAATATATTAGGTTTCGCATGAAATTTTTTTTTGTAGTGCACTTATACATTCGATCCAATTTAATAAAGTTATTGCCTGTGTAATAACATCAGATATAATGTCAAGGACAGTCAGTGTGCTCAGTTAGAAAATGGTTCTTCTTTGTAGATTTACAGATAACCCTAATAGCTTGAGAAGCCGCCACGTTGACGACAAATCAGTGTCGCTTTGTTCTGCATGGACGATAAAGCCACTGCTTATTTGCTGGTAGCGGGCATGGCGGGTGACGACGATCGAAGTGGAGCAAAAACATTTAAGCATCGTGTTTAACAATTTAGATATTTCTAAATAAGGATACGTTCCCTGGTTGTTTGTTGTAGTATTAATGCGATCACCACATCCATTAGTACATCAGAGCTGTAGTCTTCATATGCACTTGGTTATGTCTGTCTTATTGATTCTGCCTATTCCACCACTGCCAAAATCAGCCAAGCCATAAATAGCTTGGCAAATGAGAAACGTGATATGTAAGCCATGCAGTTGCTTTTTTACAACTACAGTAGCTATCATCTATCTACAATTGCCACGGGTAGGCATAAAACAACAGTTAAAATACGCTGGCGAATAACTTTTTATGTTGACTTTTGTAAGGCAAGAGCATGGCATCGTATCTAGTTGTGGAACTGATGATATTGATAGCAGGTACATACAATTCAAACGAAATGAAAATATCATTTTTGATGTTGTATATACAGCATGTCTATTGTGAGATGTAGTAATCCGCAATGAACAGGGGCCAAAAACAAAAATCAAGTGATTTGCCGGCAGTGCTTGAAACAAGCCAGTCCCGCTGAGGCTACATGTGTAACAACAGGCGACAAATGGAAACAGCCTATTTTAAAAGCATTGCGAGTAATAGCAAAGAAGATTACTTGACCAGACGACACCTTGATTATTTCTGACGCATTCCTGGATAGGATATCCTTATTAATGGCGAAATCGTTGAGCCGCCCTATCTAATAATTTGCAGAACATGAAGCTTTAAGAATTGATTTTTCATGACCTTATTTCGGTGTATTCTACGGGTCTTATTTAAGAAATGTTTTTATATCGCTTATTCTATGAAGGCATTTCTATGCTTTTATCCGCTACAAGTTTGTACAGCCTTGTTGTCAGAATAACAGCCCGCGCGCTGCGTTACAACAACGTGAGTAGCTACTCCTAATAAGTCGATAACAGTGAACTGCAACTTGACCTGTAAAAGCGTAGTTCAATGCGTATCGTAACGTTTATGAAGTTTTTAATTGAGCCTTTTTTCCATGGTATATTTTGTAAATTGCAATTGAAAATAAGATTCCATCTTCAAAACTCCCGTTCCAGATGAGGTTGGCTCACTTTGTAGAGTTCGGACGAAAGATAGTGTGCGTTGGGCGAAATTATGCGGCGCATGCGAAGGAGCTCAACAACACCGTCGGCGAGACACCTCTCATCTTTCTCAAGCCACCTACTGCTTACCTCATGCAGGGCAACGGTAACATCGAGCCCCCGCCGGGTTGTTTGGAACTGCACCATGAAGTTGAGCTTGGTGTCCTAATCGAGAGGCCCGGCAAGAACATTCCGGAAGGAGAGGCAATGCAGCATGTAGGAGGTAATTTAAAATGAATGCTGACTCATCAGATCTTATTTCAATTTATCTGACTGAAATTACAGTATGGTACTAAATCAACCACTTACGAAACTTTAGAATGTTACGTACGGCCATACCACAACCAGCTTCTGTGTCTCGCCTAGGAAACGACTAGGTTCGTTTTTCAAAGACAATTATTATTTACCACTATTTTAGGAATATATTACAGAAATAATTATTTCTGATCATGCTTAGACCATATTAATTCTTTTCACATAGTTCCGCTTCCGGAAGCATTCATGTACGCAATCAACATAACGTTCCGCTATCTATCTCTTGTTTGTTTGCTTCTATTTATCTAGAAATATGACATGGCTGAAATATTATGTTCATCGTTAATTACGATTTACTATATCCGCCTTAACTGGTAGCGCTCTTCAACGTTTTATCGAATATGGTAATTGCAGGATATACACTATGTCTGGATATGACAGCTCGAGACGTGCAGACCAAGCTTAAGTCACAAGGTGCTCCTTGGGAACTGGCTAAAGCATTTGATACGTCTTGTCCAGTTGGGGATTTTGTGCCGAAAGAAAGTATTGTTGATCCACACAATTTGAACTTGTGGTGCAAGGTGAACGGTATTATGAGGCAAAAAGGTAAAAATAGACACATATATTGCACCGATTTGCTGTATTTCACGCGAAAGCAGTAATGAGAGAACACTATACGGATATGTAATGTGGTTATCCATACTGTGAAAGTATTAGAACAAAACCGACATTTTTTTGTTACATTAGGTAATTTGGATCGTGAAATATTAGGTCCTGATCATTGCAAAAACTCAAAACGATTCGCATATTTAATTGGAGTTTAAAAAACGGTTAGTTCAAGTGAAATCGCACCGCGTTTTGACGCTGTCGATCTGCTCTTTGAAGTCATGTTCAGAAATAAATTATGTGAATTCCGCTGTATTTTGTCACACTCTGCAGCGCCTCACTGGGCTTTCCTGTCGGAGCTGCCAACAGTATTTATTTTTAAGGAAAGTGGAAAAATTATTGACCATCTTAGTCCTCGTATCTCAATATATTTTGCAGTGCGCCTGACTTTTAAAAAAACGTTCCGACATGCATGCCTTTCCATAGGCATAGTATTTTTACAGTGCGTATTTCATGAAGTATCGGAATCCGGTGGTCGTTGCCATTCAACCCCTATATAATAACGCCGCCTCTCTTATTCCTGTTAGAAAAATGTATACCGAAACTAAGTAGGTAGTTTCAGTTACTCGACTTGTGCTAAAACTGAATTTTATAAACGCTAAAATGGCCGTTGAGGCCACTCGACCTATAGCTGTAGCGCACTCCAACAGTGTTGTACCCTATGCGAACGTTTCTACTTTTTTAATATAAATTTTATATTCCCTACACCTGTCGTTTGTGGCATAAAGTTTACTTGTCAAGCTTAATCGAGCATACAAAAAATTCAAACTGTTACTATTTCCGACGTCCCTAAAAATATATATTGTTTAAGAGTATACAATTTTGTTTCGCAGGGAACACCAAGGATATGTTTTTTAAAATTCCACAAATTGTCGCGTACGTGAGCCGGTATTTCACATTGGAGGTCGGAGACCTTATCCTGACCGGAACCCCTCAAGGTGTAGGACCGGTAAAATCGGGAGATACGATTGAAGCAGGGATGAATGTAAACAATTATAAAATGACTTTTATTATTAAATAGATAATGCGCACCTGTGAAATAACAGTACTGCTGTAACATCGTAGTATTCACTATATATTCAGCTTGTAAAATCGCACTGCGTAGCCATTACGCAGCTCGTATAGATGAATGAGTTCCCCGTTAATTAGTTAACGGCTTTGTGTTAGGAGATTTACTGAATGTTATGGTGTATTTTGATCTACCTACGACGTAAATTTTGTAATAAAGGAAAACTGTTTGTCTACTGTTTTCGAGTTCTTTTCTGATCCATGCTAAAAGGTTTGACGATACATTCTATATGAGTAAAAACAATAGAAGTCAGATAATATTAGTCAACGTAAATATACTTTATTCAATAATACTCAATTTATTTACAATCTAAATGAAAAAATATTACTTTGGTTACAGGCGTTAATTATTCCAGGTGGGCCAGAGGTCCCTGAACAATTGGCGAGGACCCTTATTTCTATTTGTTAAAGTAACAGAAAATACGCATTATTGTGAAAAAAGAGTGGATTTAACAGTGCGTTACTTCTAACGGAGATACCCTTTATAACAGGACCAGACTATTAAAGACCTTTGGCCCATCCAGTAAATAAACTGAAATATGCCTCTTTTTTTTGTCAATCATTAAAGACCGTATCTTGGATCTTTTTTTTGGTGTTACGAACACGTTGACGTGAATTAGCATATTTCAGGCTTAGTTTCTAAATGCAGTGGCTGTAAACTGGACACTTAAGGCACATGCTTAGCAAATTGCTGCACAAAGATTTTGGCAAATAAAATCAATGAATCAATCAAGATTGTAAGGTAGAAACATTAAAAGGCCCCAGAGAGGGCACTAGGCACTCTGAAAAATCACGAGGAACGCCGAGGAACTTTGACGGCGCGATAGCCCCTATTAGCTGCTAAGTATGTGAAACCTTGAGTAGCTGCTGAGCATGGTTTTCTGCATGGTCACAAAACTGCCAAAGATACCGTAGTACGACACGGTATCAAATATGCGGTATGCATACCGCATAAGGACCGCAAATTATTTTCAAAGCTTTTGCATCTTATATCATATCATCTTACCATATTTTCATCATGTTATATCATCAACATTTTAGGCTATAGATGCATAATTAGATGGCTTGCTACCAGTATTTAGGCCTATTGAACTCAACTATCATTTTAGCACTTTCCCAAAATAATATCAATATAACTGAGACGAATACGAGATGCATTGGTTTATACATAAGACCAGATAACATTTTTTTGAGCGTCCCGTTTTCTACCGTTGGCACATCGATATTAATTATTACCACAAATTCAAGATACATATATGTTCGGCACCATACAGCAGTTATCAACAAAATACGCCTAGAAGAATGAAAGAAATCATTGTAATTGACCGTGTCTTGAATCGCGTCCTATTTTGCTCTTTATACAGGCTTCGTGCAAGATCTTCACCATATTTCTACTTTCTCTTGGGCAGCTCGTTACCTCAATGCTACTTCCAGGAACCCCCCACGTGCCTCAAACAAAGTGTCTTCATCGTCGTCGTCTTTTCCCAGTGGCTGAAGCTCTTGGTCCTTCCATCGTCGACGAACTCCGTATCGCTCAGCGCGCACCGTCGCATACCGGCGTCTTGAAGAAAATCGAATGATCAAACCATTCAATTAAAATGCTCCTGTTATTTTTAAATTGTGTACAAAGTCAAACAAGACTTAATACTTAGGGGCTCTTCCTCTATATTTTTCTATCTCCTATATATATGCGACCCTAACTAACGCCTCAAAAGAACACCTTTATATCTGCTCTTAGAGCAGTATAACATATTTGATAACTTATACGTTACTCCCTACATTGACTATTGCGACTAATAAGTGCATAACTAACAACTAATGATATTGAGACCAGACCTCGCAGTGGCTGAAGGACTTTACGACCTACCGAAAATTTTTCACAACCATGTAGATCAGAATGACAACCGTTAAACCAACAACAACATAAACGACCGTTGAAAACGCATCAGATGTTTCAAAACTCGGAGCCACGGGTCCGTGTGGGACATTAGGTATCAGTATATGGCTCGTCTTCGCAGCTGGTAAAGCTTTGGAGACATCCACGGTCCTCTCGGATGGCACATTAATTCTCGAACTTCCACTGCTTATAGTACTGTTAGTTGAAAATGCTATCGTGCTACTGCGGTCGACGCTATTGATATGCGGCGCCGGAGAGCTGGCTGCTCTAGCTCGCGGAAGGTCCGTACTAGATGAATTGATGGAGTCGTTGGCATTAGAGGTTCTCACTATGAGCAGTATTAGGCAAACACAAGCAATTAGTCTTCGAGATGTGACCACTGACTTTGCCGTGGTGACCATCATATATCAGTCATGAAACCGTCGATTGGGCATCCAACAGCTAAAAAACAGAAATTTTATTTACAACATGTAAACCAAATCCATATTAAATTTTCAATTTAAATTAAAACACTTATCTATAAAGACCAACAGTTATGCAAAATACGATAGGTACACCAATTACAAGTAATACTAAGCTGTGCAGTAAGGACTCCCAATACGCAGATATGTAAATAGAAATTGGAAACAGTGTGTAGGTAAAATGTTACCAAAGATTAGTGGAAAGCCATAATATATATATGTATATACCTGTCATGCAATGGCTTGCGTAGCGCTCTAAATGCAACGAAGGAGGATGCAAAGTATAAAATTTCCGGACAGTTAGAGAGTTTTTGTTTGCGAGAGATAAGCGAATTATTACAGTAAAGGGCGGACGTACACTGTATAACTCATCTATAACAGGACCATCCTAATGCACTAATACAGGATGTAATATTACAATGGAAATGCAGCATTTCAATATCTTATTTGACTTATTCTTTCTTGTACTCTCTGAATTTACTTTCTGAAACTTTACATGTAGTCCAGCTTTATAGCCGAGTTTTCGTTTACTTCAGATTCGACGCTGACAGGTCTACGAAGAAAGCACAAACATGTATTTTTTTGGCTTAGCAAAACTATCTTTGGAAACATATTGTCGTCGTATGTGAGCATTGGACTGCACAATCTTTTACCTAAACGGAGTTCGAAAAACCAAGTTGCTAGCTCTTCGGAAGAAGAACAGTTAACACATTCGTATCTATATACTATTATATGTATTATTTTAAATCTCAGAAATCTCCAGAATCGTTCCAGGCGAACTATTACTTGGAATCTATTTCTGTTGTCTTTTGTACGTATCCTATTGGGTATAAAAACCAAGAAAAGTCTGTCTTCACAAACTCAGAAAAAACCATAAAAGGGACTTGGACGCCCCAGCCTATAGTCAACAGTCGCTCGTGCTTCTTTTTCTAATTCTACATTTAAAGCTAACACTTGTTGCAATCCTGACACTTCTCACTTAAAATCCCACATGATGGGTCCTCTCGCAAAATTGTTTAAATTAGTTGTAATGTACGTTTGTTGAATTAAAGGATAACTCATTGTGCAATTTGACTATCCCTGTTGTACTACGTTGTCTAAGTTGTGTATGTCAATTATTTTTAGATGGACTTGGCCTATAATGAAAGGAAGTAGATCGTCAAACAAAAGCCGAGCATGAAAGGAGTAGATTCAAATATTTGGAACCACGCCGCAGTCAAGGCAAACAGTCGATGCAATGAGCGAAGCTACCAGATTTATTTGCCATTCTTTTTTACGGAGAATGGCAAGTGGATGTCGTGGTACACACGACAACGGCGAATAAAATTTTAGTTAGAAGGATTGTTGAAAACCCCGAAACGTCCACACGCAGAGCTTTACTCAAGCCAAATATTTTTGGGAACACCCATGCGTCGCATAATGTGGAACTTGTATCACGGTTATTCCGAATTTGTCTTCAAAACTTGGTAATGGCGCTGTAGATAAAAGCCAGTATACTTGACACGTTGATTGATGAACCTCATTTTGAACTTTTAGGTGCTTTAAACAGGCAAAATTGTGTCCATTATGCAACAGAAATTTCCGCGTGAACAATGAATGAACCAGCTGGGTATCGGCTTGGCCGGCTGTTTCGTATAAAGCACTGATCAAATCTGTTTGTTTTTTATTTAGCCTTTACGAAAGACTTATGCCTGCGTAGACTGCGGGACATCATTCTGTCACGGCTGCAATAGCAATACGATACTTTTTTCGACAAGACGGAGCGTCGCCACACTACACACTAATCGTGTGTGGATTCGTGGACGGGGAGTTGCTATACAGATGAATAAGTCGACGAAATCTAGTGGAGTGGCCGTCGCAATCACCGGGCCTCATGCCAGTATATGGAATATAGTTAAAGAGCAGGTGCCTGCACGAGGAATATTGCCCATATACGACTAGAAGCAAGCGTGTTAGGCATGATGATGAAGAAGTGCGCAAATATTTGCTTAAGTGCATGGAGCAGACTATTGAGTTGTTCGCCATCAATTCAAACGTTTATAACATGAAATGTAAACTGTCTTATTCTGATATTAGTTAATAAACACATCTGAATGAAGATACTTACTAATATTGTCACGATCTAACATAGTATAATAGGAGTTATGTGGTGTTGGAGTGCGTCTGTTACAGATGTATTGTATAGATAAAGCCGCTCTTTATGCAACAATTTGCGTATCGTTAGCCACCTCAACAGACGTGAGATATAGGCTCTCGAACTTTCCAAAGTTTTTTCAAACCGGTCGGAGACTTTTGGGCTGCGTTAATTGGTTCTCCTGTCGTTAGGCCGTTGCACCTTTGGGGGCTCTTAGCAACACTCGAAATGTTTGCCTTTTAATACGCACATGCAGTTTAAGTTTCTGAAGATAGTGACCGCAATTTTAAAAAATAACAAAAAGAACATTTATTAATAAGCATTTTGAGCTATTATGAGCTAACTTGTTCTTACAGTGGCATACATATTCATCTAAAAAACTAATCGATAACAGTGGTTAAGTACTTGATTACTCATTTTAACTCACTGAACGCAATACCTTTCAAGAACTTTCCCCGTGTTCTTCCTGTTTCTAATAAAAATTGATTTAGAAGCATACAATATTTATAACTAAATCGTTTGTTAACAAAAGAACAAATAACACAAAGATAGTAATTCTGGAGTGCTGCCGATACTCACAACTGCTGTAAATTTATTTTGAAATGTAGCGCTTTATAGCAATTAACAATAAAATCAGCTTCAGTTAGACTTTTGGAGACTAAGCTTTTTTCAGTACAAAGTAAACTATTTATGCTCGTGCGCAGCTTCATCATGAATATAGCGGTACTTGCGTACGTCCTACCAATTGACAAAGTTTGCAAAGTTTTATTACGACGAGTTAGGACTCTGGGATCACACGAAACATTTTCTTTAAAACGAGGCAATAATAGTAGTTTCCGCCACCTTACCTGGACACAATAAAAGCACAATATGTGATTTATAATTTTTTTAATGGCTCACTAATTACTCCTGCGCGTTGTTCTACGTGATCCATGAGCACATAGTATTTCTTTAACTTAAACTCAGTCGTCTATGTCTTCTTTTTTTGATTCACAAAGGTATCACAATCAGCTGATTAAGAGCGATCCACAACGAGAAATTCGTACCACAAACTTATTTGTTTGCCAGTCCAGGACAACAGAACGCGCTAAAGAGTATTCGTTCAATTGCTGAATGTGACAGGCCTGATGTTAATCCAGTAGCAAACTGTAGTCATTTTTTGTAACAGTTAGAATACCCTGTCATCATTTAAAAATTTGTGTTTTTGAAAGTAGTTTTCTGACATTTGTAATTTGCGAGACGTTACCTTAGCTAGTGACTGTGAGGCTGTATCGCAGTGGCCCATAGAAGAAAGCCGTTTGTTGAACAAGTTTTGGGAAACTATGGAGGTTAGTGGTATCAGTTTTTGAGTATATTGAGTTAATAACACAGCTGCCTCCTTTGTTACAATCAGCTGTTTGTAGCGAAAAACCCAATGTACTATTTGATGCTATTTAAGTAATTTTTCTAGCAAAAAGTCCTTATCAATTGAATATATAGATCAGTTAACTATATTCGAATCTTTGTAAATTTTTTATTTGCCAAAAATTATAAAAAGGCAAGAATTTAAGCGTACATTGGGACCAGTAAAAATATAACTAAAGAACTAATTTGAAAAAAATAAATTTATGTGGAGAAAGACATACAGCATAGTCATGTAATAGAGAGGTCAACATGATTTTAAATACTGTTTAGTACAGTAATATAACATGTCGCTTAACACATTTAGACAAAACGTATTGTACCAAACGTTAGAAATTACAAATCTAAAAATAAACAGATTACGAAGGAATAAGTTTTGCTAACTATTTATGAGCAAAACCATTTTCACCCATTCGTGTTTGGTTCGATGAATCCTATTACAGGATGCGATTGTGCCGAGGCAGGAGGTACCAGAAAAAGTTGACGTCCTCTTGAAAGCGACTGGTGATGCGCCAATTCTCAGAAGGTCCAAATGGAACGTTCGATCTGAGCTGACAGTTGCCCAATTGATGGTTAGAGATATCGCCTGAATTATTTTACGTGCCAATCAACTGAATATTATATTTTGACAGAGCATATTTGAAAAATTTCTAATAGTTGTAGGTACCGAAATGCAGGGAATGTTTCTATTTACTGGTTTCAAAGCTGTCAAGCTAATTTTCGTCTGTTCCAAAGTTGTACTGCGGACTAAGACAGTCATGAAAGTGTGCAAGTCAGACTATCATCAGGGTATACGTTATTGCCTACATTTTTATCACGTAGTGAATCCATAACTCCTAAATTGATCACAAGTATTGCAAGTCGATATACCGATACATGTTTTCGGGAAAAATGTTATATCAGCATATAAAAGAATGTTTGATAGGGCAGCTTGTGCGTCGCGTCCTGATAACTCGTTCTTAACAAAAATTACGATTTTTTAATTTGTAACTGCCGACTAAAAAAGATAAAGATAGAGTTCGAACTTAATTATGTATTACTTAACACTTACAGAATGGTGAGCATCCATTGCTTATTTTGTAGCCTTTTGAAGATTACACGGCTAACCCTTGACAACGGGCATCAAAATATGATACATGTAATAACATATTTGTTTTAATTTCATCTTTTCAGATACGCGTAAAACAAATTTTACAATTAAATCCAAATGAGTCGCTTTTCTTTTACGTCAATCAAGCCTTTGCTCCACCTCTCGACGAAAAGCTATCCACTCTTTTTGAAGTGTATTCTACAAACGGAAAGCTGGCACTTCACTATGCTAAGACCGAGGCGTGGGGTTGACCCACTGCTGTGAAATTTGAAGAAATGAGAACATTTTTGTATATATGAACTTTCATACAAGTAAGGTAATCTGCAGATGTAAATGGTATAGTTGCGAAACTACTTAAACAGTCCTGTAAATACTGTGGCGTTTATTACTAGACATTTTATTTATTCGTTAATGCAATAAAATGTGTTTCTCACATGGTATGTATTCAGTATATAGCTGAGTTTTAGAAGCGAACAACGCCTGAGGTACTAATATTCTATCCAAACATAGAATAAGTAACTAAGATGTTTACACCCACTGACGCTTGTCTGACTGAGAAAGATATCATGATTACGTCTTTGATTTGCTAGAAGTTAGGTCTACAGATAAATAGAAAACGGTGTCCGAAATGTGTTTTTTTATTTAATCACACTGATAAGGAAAACATTGGAGGAGATAGTTGTCAGACCGTATACAATAACACATCATTTAAGGCAGTGTGTAGTCAGGGCTTTATACAGCTTCTGCTGTGTAAGAATTTTATGCAAATTTCAGTTTGCGGATCTGCACTTCATCTGTGTTTAGAAAATCGCTATGTTTATTGGCTTCCCTATGTACGTTAAGCCAAAGACTTTTTTATTTAAGGGAAGAATAATTAGTAACATATGCTCCAGTCACTACTGTTCTTCCTGTCGACGTGGTGCCTTCCGTAGGAACAAATTATGTATCCATTCTCTTTTGGCTACTTAGGTGACTTATTGACCAAATCGCAAGTTGGTTTACATACTGTATACGATAAATAGTAGATCAATCAAAGCACTTTCTTCTGCAGCAGGTGAAGCTCTTTGTGTAGGAAATTTACCCAATATAAGAAGTATAGTCACGTTAAAGAATTACATATAGATGCAAACCATCTGAATGCATGAATATGCACTACATTTTCAAAATGACGACCATACCTATCAGTTCCATATATGGTCCACAATAAACTCGTACCAATTTTTCACATAGCTTTGACAAAATATAACGGGTAACTCAGGAGCACTTATTGGATAAAGTATTGTCTACTATTTTCGTTCACTGTCTGTCGAACTTGGGACATATTTACTGAAAAAAGACATTCGTGGTGTACATACGTGTAAAGATCGCTAGGATATATTTAGCTTGGATTTGATGTTGACCTAAACTAGGCCCAGCGGAAAACAAAACAGAATAAGGTGGAATTGGGTGATGAATAAGCTATAACATCTTCGTCAAAGCCCAATAGTTAGTTTAGTTGGTCCATTTAGTATATTTTGGAGACGCTGACCGAACGCCACTACACGACTCTTTACGTTATATTATTTGGCCTTCCAAAGCACCCAAATTTCAAAACATTGACATGTGCTTCGGCAATACAGATCGATTCGACCGCTTTCATCCGATACGTCGAGAACCCTTTTGGGCTCTTCAACCAAATAATGTGAGTTCGTCCAGTCGAAAAGTCAGCACCAACTTTTGTTTGCTTCTTTCGAATACGACTTCGAACGTAGCACCGATAAATAGCAACAGCTTTATGGCGACTATGTAAATAAACTACCTCACCTAGAAATTCTCTTGAGCGAACCAAACTGAGTAAAAAACTTGGATCAGGCGTTTGTGGGGAATTAGAAGACTTTTTAAAAGTTAAATGTAAACAAAAGGATGTTTAATTATGAAGTACTTCAATATAGTTTCGCATCTTGGTGTAAGGGATTGGACGGTTTCGTTATATAAAAAGAAGCAGATAAAATCTTAGCGCTATTGTGGCTTCAAGATTTCTAAAATGAAAATTTTTGCGAAGGTTTTTGTAAAAATGTAGCTTTTTTCATAAGATATGATGGAAGATGCCACCCTTTCGGCAGGCACGAGCAGCCTTTTTAAAGATCAAAATTTGTATCTGATTTCGTCAGGAACATTCATACATGTCATCGATTAAGCTTGGCGATCTACTTATGCCATATGAACTTTTCAGCCATTTGTATATAGCTTGCCCCGTCCGAGATTGTTCAGCTTATTGCCCATGAGTTTGCTATACATGGAACAAAACCATCCGATAACTCGTTGATAAAATAACACCTTGGCCTAGGTATCGATGCATCAACGATCAAAAGCTTGTAGATTCGATCGAACTATTCTCTTCTTCGTTCTCTAAGTACGTATTACTCAACCATTAACTTGATAGGGGATGTTTCTGAAATTAACGGATCGCTTTAGTGATGACCGCAGAACTAACCAAAATCAACAACTGAAGTGTTTACACAGGTGGCAACCTTATTGAGATAGTGGCCTTCCTCACAAAATTTAACGATGATAGACAGCGAGTTCAGATGAATCAATGCAGGAAAATGGGTGCCTCCGGGTTATCCCCCAATTGTGATCATAGGTCGGTTGTCATTTTTGTGCAAGTTCGTCACATCCGATCCTCCGTGGCTAAAATGCTTCTTACGAAGGTGCGTTCGAATCTAAAGAGAACCGGCGTCACGTTAGGGTTTAACTTTATACGCTCCTATAACTAACCAAGCAGTGAATTTCGTATTGTTTAGGTAAAGAATTTTCTTTGATCTTATTAGTATAGAGTGCGTCTCGAAGAATTATTATTATTATATATTTTTCTATATAATATTTTGTATAATATTTATATTCTGAAAGAACATGACAGCACTTGTAAGCTGAAAACGAAGAGAAAAACGCCTAATGGCTGATTTTTAGAGCACTTAACGGCTACTAACCTTGTGTTGCAATAGTTCATCGAGTTTGCGCAAATTATCGCCCAGTAGTCCAGGCAGACGTGTTATATGGCTAATGTTAGTGGAAATGTGTTGTTCAGTATAGTCTTCGCAGGTAGTTTGCTGGAAATCGTACTGCTTTCTGAGAACATCTCTGAGCGACAGGTCGTCAGATTTTGCCGAAAAAAGACACGACTTCAAGACACCGTCTGCCGTTAAGCGCAGGCGATTGCACGATGAGCAGAAAGCCTATAGTAACCACAATAAAGGCCCAATTGACCATCTATCACTCGAAAAGCGAAAGTCAAGAAACCTATGATAAACATAAGAAATGTTTTAAAGCAAATGTAGGTGGAAGCACAAGCTGATGCTGTGTGCTGTAGGTGTCTACTGTTTCTTATTTGATCAATATTACCAAACCTAAATGTTGTTTACTAGTAGCTACGCAACATCTGTTAGTTAACAAATGCAACTGCACCCTAAGAAAGATGTCGGGCCGCACGTAATGTCAATGTACCTTCGGTATTTTGGCAAGCTCTTGCGATCCCCATCAAATTTTTAAGCGTAATGGAACGCAGCTAAGCGCGATCGGATTTCATTGTGTCTACAAATTACATTGCCCACTTGCTATTTACGACTCGCGCAAATCTATTATAACAATGTAGTACTTATGATAATGCATTATATTCACTATAATATTTTATTTTATGAATAAAACAGAGCATTAAGCATCCATGTTTTAAAAGTGTTTTCTTGATACGGCTAATAAAGATCGATCAAGGGTTAATACTATACCTGAGACATTGATGAAATAAAACCCCAGCGACCACGGTGAGCTGGCGATGTAAAGAGCTAAATCGGAAAACGTGTAAATTAGCGTCTATTTTCGGGCATATCAAATATATCCATGAAGTCTATTATTACGACATAACTGAACGTCAACCTTTGCAGTATGGTGAGGCTCTAAAGGTAACGGGTGTACGTCTGGAACGCTTCGATGGATTCGCTTCTCGAGCTCCTTCTGAGGGACTAGTTTTTCAAAGCTCCATCGATTTCCATCAAACGGCATATATTCAATGAAACGCACCTCCAGATCCTTAAACGAAAAAAATGTAAAGAACCGCATACAACGTGTTTTTTGCATTTATGCTTTTTGTAATAGGTTTACTGGTCGGTAAAGGTTTATCAGAACAACTTTTTATCTCTGCCCGCCCCAATCATAACTAAGCGAAGGTTGAAACAACGTTTTACGTCAACGAGGGACTGGATCTGATATAAGAGGTAATAAAATTTGTTTATCAGCTATTTGTTATGCCATTCGTTTTGGACAAGCGAACACATGTTTTGTGTGTATTTTTGGTTATTGTGTTCGATTGCTATATGTTTTAACGCGTAGGGCCTTATCGGCTTGAATGCAGAAACATGTCAAGATATTTTTGGATATTCAATCAAGCTGTAGATGGTTACATACAGGAGCTCTGTGGCGTTTTTTGGTTGACTAAGAATCGATCTTTCACTTCTAAAATTAATTGTATATATAAGATGTATATTAAATTATGGTATTTATTAGCTGATGTCACTTCATTTGTCCTGATTAGGCCGTTACTAACTGCCGCTTTAAAAAATATAGTAACTACGTTCTAATTTTTTCCCTGTATGGGCACCTACGTCGGGTAACATTAGAAACTAGTTACTGAGTACAACAAGTACTGACGTGGTCTTTTGTCATCTCGACAAATGCAGGCACTTCGTCTTCGTTGAAATCCCGTATGACGACACAGTTCACCTTAAATGGAAAAGAATAGGCAAATTTGCTAAAAAAGCTGAAAGTGATTTTTTAGCATATCGGGACATGGACGTTACGTAGGACAAATTACGCTTGGTTTAAGAAAGCATTGCACGAAATGTCGAGAAGCGGTGCATGGTTGGTTAATCGTCGTTAGATAATATTTGTCAGGATTTTCGTCTCACATTAGTTCTAATGGATGCTCTTAAAAGTTTTAAAAATACGAGAAGGCTCCTTACATAGGTAGTAGGAGGTAAGAAGAAGCTTTCGAGGTATGCAAAGGACAAGAGTCACAGACAAGCATAAATATCATTATTCTAATTGATAGTAGGATCCGAATCAAACAAATGCTAGCTGACTGACCTTGGTGGGCAAGCGTTGTTGGGCATTAAATATTGCTCGTAGTATTTTCTCGAACCCTTTCCTGCGAGTGATCTCTTCAAACTTAGTGGGCACAAGTGAATCCAAACTGATATTCACGTGGGTCAACCCGGCCTGGATAAGACTGTCTAAATTACGGTCTAACGCTAATCCATTTGTGGTGAGACCTTAAAATATATGTTCAAGTTTTACGTCCAGTAACTGCCGATAAAATTTTTTTGGCCGTGATGCCAGATTACGAAGCATAACTTACGCGTAAGAAGTCCAGCATGGAAATATAGGATTTCTGGAAAAAGTGAACTCTCATGATATTTTAAAGTAGACAATATTCGACCGTTGCGAGCTTGAATACGAACCGATCTTGCGTATTTGCGGGTGGTTGGTGTGTATATGACGTATGATATGGACCAGATCTTTTCGTAGCAGTGGTTCTCCGCCCGTCAGCCGCACTGCGGTTATACCAAGGTTAGCGAAAATATCTATAAGGTATAATAGCTCGTACGTTGTGAGAAGTTTGTCCCGTGGCGTTAACGATATCCCGTTCTTCGGCATGCAGTATCGACCTGAAATTGAAAACGAAAAAAAAAAAAAACTAATAACGTCACTACATACTGATATGTAATGCTAGTACGGTATACTATCAGTTTATATAATAACGGTGTTAATTTGTATAATGGTGGATTTGTTATTATAACTCGGTCGTTACAATAGATTTACCACAAGCAGTTCGTGTAGAGAGTATACCATGCGTGACATTTGCCTTATATTGATATCGATTTCCTGGTTCATTTCGTCCAACGCTACTATATCTTCGTGAATGGCAAGTTTATTGACAGGACGTACAATATTTCATTATTCATATTCAACCTATGACTCAATTAAAGCATACAAAATAAGAAAGTTTTATGAAACTCAGCTGCCGTATCATTTAATATCTACGCACTATTTATGCACCAATTATCTGTATATATGATCTAACAGCATACGGTAAGGGATAATCACTTGATTTTGAAGATTTTTAAGAGAACTTTTACTTACAACGAAATGAGCAGCGTTCAGTAAGCGAAATTCGTAGATAATTATGCAGTCTTTTATGATTATCATAAAGGTATGCTGCCATGTTCGGCTGACCATTTTCTCGACGATCCACGGAAGCTGGCATAGTTGCAGCATTTTCAGGCGTACCTTGGCATTCACGTTCGGCAGTCTGTTTTTGAGCACGTTTTAAAATGTCTGTCGAGCCACCACCGAAAGAGATGAACCGGCAGGAGACTCTGGACAGGACTCTCCATGATGCTGATATCAGTACTATGCCCGTTTGTTTCGTTGTAACTTAGGTTAAATACATGTGTATAAGCTTTAACATATATTTTATACAGTAGTCAGTCGCCGTAGCTCCTATTATTTCTGATCTTGAGCATGTTTTATATGGTTATATCTCAGTGCTTGACGACAAGCTAACAAAATGATTAAAAACTGATACTTGATAGATAGAGATTTGTGAAAACAAAAAACGCATGTATTTGTTACGATCCAAGTGTTATTTCCTAAGTATATTTTCAATCGTAATTATGCGAAACGTATCGATATGACAATTCCTGCTATAATAAAGATGATAAATAGCGACGCTCACTCACGAAAGTAGATCCGACAAGCGACAAAGGCATGTTTTCATCAGAATCACAATTATTTACTGGATAATTGTGAGTCTTCCTGAGTCTAATAAGATTACCGCGCGCTTTACCAGTCTAATGATGTATCCGCAATTGCAATAGTTGTAGTGCATAAAGTACTTTAGCTACAAACAGCGTGACTGACGCGACAGATGTCCACCATTGTCTGTGACGACTCCTAATGCCTCCCGCACTCTCCGCTGGACTTATCAGTCGCTAACGAACGTGCTGGACAAAACTGCTCCCACAGAGGTATCTCCTGCTGCTAGTGCGGTCAGCGTCATTGGAGTTGGGAAAGGACCCTTACCTATTCAAAGATGGCACTAAGAAACAGCGAACAGCTACAGGTATTGAGCTAGGCTAAACGCGCATTCTATTTTTTGAAGCGAAAAGGTAAAAAAAAATCAAAACGCTCAGCTAAACAGCTGGTTAGCCTTTGACGACCGCCTTGAAGGGAAACGAGGCTGATACGTTATTAGACTGAAGGGTCTCGTCGAAAAATGAGGTGTTGTGTTCGTTGCTGTAGTTAAGTTTTTGCTCCTTTTATCGTGGAACTAGAGAATAATTACCGAAAAATGAACTTTGATAAACCACGCAAAGGAAAAAGAAGGCAAACACATGTTGAGCTCTTACGCTGGCTGATCAAAAACATCAATTTGTTTATTAAGTGACAATGGATAACATTCTGAGCTTTCCGTTGATTTAGTTTCGTTGATATAATTTCGTTAATGATAATAATAATAATAATTCTGGTAGAAGATGATGATATTAGCCAACCTAGCAATCGGAAAATAAAAAGTCAGTGGCAATTGCGCAAACAGTTATGACAGTATTCCTGAAATATATATCTGTAGTACAATGCTTAAAAGCTTTCCTATCACTTAAGAGTTCAAAATCAGGGTAAAATTTCGAGGTCTCCCCTATATATCCTTTCATAACTACTGACTGCCCTTCCGATATCAATATGTAGAACGTCTGAGATCATGTCTACTCTAGATGGTTTGCCTAAGGACAAAATGTGCTGAGCTTTTTTTTGTCTAATGTCTTTTGTCGACACGCTGGCCATCGTCTGAATAATTATAGAAAATGTTTAGTTCGAAGAGAACAAGGTGCTGGAATGAAGCGTTCAATTTACGTATTTACAGTTGGATCCATCCGATGTGTTCCTCTTGCATGTAGTAATCTTTTAAATGTTTTTTTTACTTGTCTAGAGCATTGGTCAATTTATTGCAAGATAACAGTAGATGGAACGTGAAACAGATTACAGATCTACAGCGCACCCTATCCCTTAAATCTAATAAAATCGTCAGTTGCGGGTAGAATCGTTTTTGTTACTGCCAATGTCATAAACGACTTGACAGGAAGCAATGATAGAAGAAATCAATGATTTAACAAATCGTCTAGCATGGTGTTTATAAATAACAATAATATATTATATGTGGTATAGACGGGACCTAACAGACAGTACCAACTAAATGCGGCTCGTTATAATTCAACCGACGGTGCATACGACCAGGTCATTGTCATTTTTCAGATATGGCATGAGCAATAACAAAGACTTCATAGCATTTGGCAGTAAAATGCATATATTCGGCTCGGCAAGTGATTACATGCTAATGATTTCGTTGAAAACAGCGCAAGATAACTGTTGAGGTGTCAATGTGCGCGACAGCATAACAAGCGAATCAGCGCCTTCAAGGCTTATGATGGCGGTAAACAGCTTTAGAGATAAGAGAAAACCGTATGATTTTTTTTATGCTGCCCTAAACAAATTTGGGCGTGAATATTTATTAGTCGAAGATAGCCAGTTAATTTTATTCTACTAAACTGTATGCATGCAGTGACAGAATCGAAGTTGTATTGTAGCGTAACAAGTTTTCAACTACAGTGTGAGCTACGTGTTTTTTTTTTAAATCAGCGAGTTTTTATATTAATCTTTATTTTAATGAGCCTATCGCTAGAGATTACTTAGGAATCTATTCGACTATTTTCAAGAGGTTTGACTGATGTTGGAATTTTGTATCAGTCGACCGACGGTCCATCCTGGCTGTTCTTTCAAGAGTATCACATATTGCATGCTATTTTGTTGCTGTTCTAAATAGATGTAAAAATACGTTCACTATTTTAAAAGACTTTGATATCGGGAATACACATTCTGGTGATGCCACATCACTGTTACTTTACGACTCCGTCTAGTGAATAAGGCAGAATGCCTGACGACACCTAGGTTAAAAGCAGAGTAAGCTAGACACAGCATCATAACAAAAACTAATTTTAAAATATCCTATCTTTCGTATGATGAATGAATATCTAAAGTTTAATCCAATAATAATCACCTGAAATTGAAATATACTAATTCAAATTCAGCTACTGCTTGACAACATGGCGTCTTTGACAATATGATTTAACCAGAGAACGTAACTGCCTTACTTCGGTTTTACAAAATCAAACCTATCCAGCGGAATAGTTTACTATCGACCCTTTATGAAATCTGTTTTTTTATAGAGTAGGTCTCCGCGAGATTGAGGCAAATCAATAGCATATTCGCTAATTAATTTTTTTTATCTGTAGCAAATCCTGGTGTGTACCAAAAAAAGCCACCGATCTTATTTAGGAGTAAACACATCCTAGCCAGGTAAAATTAATCAGTAGAATTAATTTATTGGCATTTAATCACAGAACTCGCACAACTCCAAACAGAAGCTGTTGGTTGGATGACTTTGAAGAAGGATCATTGAAAGCGCTCCATCTAGTAAAACTCTATCAGCGTTTTCTTAGCCCATTACTCCACGCAATTGAAATGGCTGCATCTATTAATTAAGTCTAAAAAATCGACTGAGTCATTCTTTTTTGCAAAAATTTGCTATTAAAGAATCACTATCATTCTGCCTCTGTTCGTCAAACGGGCAGACACTGCTTTAAGGTTCCTTTAAAATAAAGGTCGATAATAGACATATGCTTCAATGGGCCCTGTCTCGAAAATCAAAAAGCTGTTGACGTGAATAAAAACCAACATTCACGATTACCCTTTGTTTTTAGAAAAAATAATCTCAATTAGTTGAGAACATACACAGTTGAAACATGCCTAATCATATATTCTATATGAATGGAGAGAAGGATAGAGGATTCAGCTTACGGATAAAACCCTAGTTTCGAGCTTTAAAAGGGTGAAAAAGCTGAATGTTTAACTTCTGTATCTCTTTTCTTTTGAGCGACTCGAGCTAGTTCTATAGTCAAAACCTCGATCTGGGCTAACTAGTGTTGACGCTGGGTGGGAAAAATCAATTGAATCATTTGCGACTGTAATCAAACAAAAGAGAGGCCAGTCTGTTCTACTATAGTACTGACATGTTCAGAAGCGCTAAATGGTAGCATGGAATAGCATCTGGTATCTAAATGGTAGCGTGGTAAATGTCGTTTTTATTAGTTATGTGCTGGTAGTGAATCTTAGCATCTAGGACCCTTGACCTTGTCTTATAATGAATTTGACAGACACCAAAGTAAGTTACTCTCGCATTTATTTTTTAAAGAAAAGAAATAATTTAAGTACGATTTGGTGCTTCGTGAATCGCTATCTTTGGGTGAGGGACCGATGCGATGTAGTGTGCCTCAAAGACGGCTACATACGCACAGTCCGCGATAAAGTCGTTTTCGGAAATCAACCAGTAAAATCGCCCCGCGCTTTTTAATCGCCCAGTAGATCCAGCAGTTCTGCGAATTATTAGTACTCGACACTCTACCTGCAAATCTGTTTCGACTACAAAATTGCTGGTCGGATCGAACAAAAAACGAAGACTGCAGGCAGGGCAGTAACCTTTACGGCTACTTATCTGGTAATAGTAATAGTTGGACGATCAAGAGAATCGAATTGTTAAATAACCGCGTGTTTACGATTGTTTCACAATGTCAGGGAAAGGAACACGCGAAGCACCATCGTCGATGACCACTGGGGTGCCATCGTTTCGACCGATCGAAGAGTTCGTCGCTGCAACTGGCCGATTTGAAGTACCGAACATCCAGAATACCGACGCTTGGGCCAACAAAGTGCTTGGCAACCTACTTTATTTCCAGGCCAACTACCTAGTTGTGCTCTTAGTCTTTTTCGTTCCCTTGGGAATATTCTATACGTTTGACTTTTTAGTATCGCTCATGTCTGTAGCAGCCATCATAGGTGGACTCAAGCTTCTGGAAACCTCACAGGCATTAGTTCACACGGTAACACGCGGCCATCCTCTGCTTTTCTTGATCGTCTCGTTGGCTGGCGCGTATTTGATTGTGATATATGTGGGCAATTTAGCGGTTTATTTTTGTGGCGTTGTCATCCCGCTTTTTGCCGTTTTTGTACACGCATCGCTCCGCTCGCGCTTTTTCCGCACTAAATCGATTAGCCCCCAGGACCGGGCGACTGCAATGGCTTCACCAATGGGCATTGTGCTTAGGCAACTGGGCGAGTCCTTTGAGCAGCTTACTATATTGAACTGACGGTAACAGCAGCGAATACAAACAACTAATCACCTATCCAATACCAGCCGTTGTCGGTCTGATTGCGCCCATATTTGTATGCAACTATGACAGTAATCATAGGGCAGTTTGAACTCGCATTAATTTCGACGGCATTAACCTACGAACTTGATATATCATGCACAATATCGGTACAATCTGCCTCGTAAACCTGTACGAGGATTCCGGCATGGACTTCAACTGCGTGCGTAAGTGTGGTATCACCAGCAAAGATATGCTGTTTCCCCCCTGACGAACTATGTACGTCTTGGTACTGTGTTTTTGTTTGCGCGGTGACCTGTGCTGATGAAAAGTGACCTATTAAAAGCAAATGAATTGAGATCTTTTCTTTTCGAGGTACCTTCGACTTGTCAGTTTTTTTTTGTCAGAATATCCGTAAACGCCATTAAGCTGACACTACAAAATAAAATTCTAGACTATTGCTTATTATTGTTTACACTTATCCAATATATAGATCGACTGTGTGTAAGTTATTTGTCTACAACTAATAGTGTAATAATGACCTTATGTATGTTCATTAATGGTAGTGTTGCGTGCTATAAATATATAAAAAAAAAATAGTGATGACCTACTACGGTAGAAACTTCATTGATCAGCCTATAAATCGTTGCATTTATTCGAATCTCATCGATAATTCTAAACAGCTCGTAGTTCATCTCGGTGCTCTGGTAGAGTTGTGCGAGTAATGGCTGTGATCTATACATCATGGTCACGATTCAGTAGTTAGTGAAAACCGGAGTTTTTCCATACCATGCGACCCTACGCAACAAGCGCATCTGTAGTAGTAGTAAAATGCAAGCGCTGACCAAAGAACAATTGGTGGGTACATCACTAAACAGAAGTGTTGCGCAAAGCCTATGCATGAACTAGCATGCATGAAGCAGTTCACCTCAATCTGGTATATTGTAATACTTCAACGTTTTTATATCGCAAACTTCCGCCTTGCGTCTAGAGATTCGGAAAGTGCATCTATCCAGCCCAGCTAAAAATATTTTTATTCAATAATTAAAACGCTGAGCTCGATAGATTATTGTATAAGTTGGTCATGGCAAGGCATACAGCCCTTGTCTCTATTGCAGCTTTTGTACCAGAAGGGACGTAAATTTAATAAAGGGAAAGAAATGTAGGCTAGGCCATCGGCTGCGGCCTAACATAGAGGAAGCGTTCCTAACCGTCGCCATTTCTAAGATCCATGTTTAGCAAATATTCTTTTTATAAAACGTGTAAATTTTTTTTGAAAATGTTTTGGTTGACCTCTGTCTGTTAGAACTATCAAGCTGTTTCGCTCACGGACCTGTTACCTACTGTTTTGCTAATGTCAGTACTAGACTGCGGAAAAGGAGTGGGTTGTTCAGGCCTGGTAATATGGATTGTGGTTCCAAGTCTGAATAACTTTGAGCTAGGCTGAATGTGGTTTAACATTTAACTTGGTACTACTTTTTATGAGTAGCTGACTGGCAGTTAAAAAGCGAAATAGGTTTAGGATGTGTCGAGGAAAATGTGTAGTCCGCAGCTGGTATACATTTTATTTACAGACTCGCTGTCAATTTCACTGAAGCAGAGCATTCAGAGTAGTCTGCAGTGACGGAGTTGTTCTATTTTCAAACAGAAACAATCAACTGAATGAACGCATCAGTAAGCATCAGAGAGACGAAGGAAGTGATTATTTGGGACAACTATATTAGATGGTGTTACGTGAAAATACCTTCACCAGGATCCTCAGATATACGGGGGTCGACAATAAGGACAACAGATAATTGTATGTAGATGCCTCTGCTAAAAGCAGTCTATTCTTAGGCCGCAGTTGAACCGGATATGACAGGAGCGTCAATGCTGTGTTATACTAATGGCTGATTAGTGACGTGGGCGAGGTGGGGAAACTGAATAAACGCGAGATTTACACGTAGTCGTGAAACAAAAGTTGACAAGCGACGGTCAGAACAAAGCATTGGGAAGACAAAACTGTCAAAGAAGATAAGAACAAAACAATTATTAAAATGTCGGATACGAGTAGTAAACACAATGAGTGAAGAAAGAGAATTTGCTATTAGTGTGATCAATGAAGGACACTTGCGTATTGAGCTTGGGGCGAGATGTTATAAGTAAATGATTTGGTAACATATGTTTGTACTGCGGATATATCATGAGGGATATTATACAATAGTTTTCAGCAGCGTATATTAAACGAGTAAATAAATTTAAGGGGAAGTTGAAGTCAGCCGTGGCTTTATTATTTCCCTAAGATTTTATAAAATGTCTGTTATATTCTTAAACACATGTACATAGATGTATGTAGAGCGTAGTTCCCGCTAACTCAAGGCAGGCGCATATAACTTTGAGATCTGCACAAATATAATTTGTAGAATTCCCTAATATTAGAATTGTTATCTTCTAGCTATTATTGCCTGTTTTAGGTGATAATATTTCGCAAATTTTAATTGTTACTTACGATTAGCAGTGGAATGAATATTTGTGGCTCATTGGATTAACATAAGGTTATTCCAGTAGATTTTATTCAGACATTAAAGCCTTATTAGCAAGTGAACTCAGAGGCTTTTTACGGGCATCTGTTTGTCATGGAATTACGAAAAAAATAGCGATATGTTTCCCCAACAAAATTTGAAAAGGTAAGACCAACTAGATTCACAGATGGGCAGACGAGGCAACTGGGTTGCGTTCACAGTGTAAGTGGGGTCGCATTTTGCATTCCGCCATTGACCTAGCTAGTCTGGCGTGTTGGGGTGTCCAATCGCGATAAACTTAGCGAGCTGATCCGGCCACATCTACCATTGCGTTTCACCAGCTCATAGTAATATTATAACATCCGGGCTAGCACAAAGTGATATATGAGGGAGGGAGGATCAGGTCCAACCATCAGGTTCCATGTTCGATCCATGTTAGATGGATTTAATTCTAGAACCTGCTTCCGGCGGTTATGTAATCTCTGATACACGATATTGGATAAGATTTTTCGGGGTCAAGTGTTTCATATAATTTTTTTGGGAGTTGTGCTATCCGAATACAGGTTTTGTTTGTGCGATTAAAAGATTAACTAGAAGACTTCAGCAAAATTGCCCAGAACCTTTACGTACCACTAAGGCAACGGCAAAAGTTGTAATTTTAATTTTACTTATTGGTAACCTACTACGTAACCAGTCGCTAGTCACATTACTTGTGTTTTACTTAAGCTTTCCAGAACTAGCCCGCGCGCTTTGAAGTGACTTCTGAGTGCCTCAGCATTAAAAGATACATTTACTAACAGTATTACGGCACTGACATTACACCTACAGATCCTGACTCAAATATACTGGATTTCTTTCCTCATTTTAATAACATATATATATATATATATATATATATAATGTTATTAAAATGTATAAAAAATATATAATATATATATATATATATCTTTCCGATGTTCGTTTAAAGCTTAGTAAATTCTTGATGAGCTTTATGCTATTCGACGATTTATCTTTTCATATTAACTGTTTCATATTACCATGGAGGATGATTCCATGGAATTAAATCACCCAAATAAAATGGCGTAATTATAGAAGGAACAAAAAACCGAAAAAAAATTTGAACCAAAATCCAAGCTAAAAATTAAGTAAACGCTGCTGGTAATTTAAATCAGGCTCAATGGAACTGTGTATGTACGTATGCTCTTTAAATTTCTTGTTTGGAAAAACCTTCCCGTACTGTTGGATTTCGAAAGTAAACGAAACACCTTTCAGTATTCGCCCGACTAGGATGCTTTTCACTTCATATCTACGATACCGATGGTTTTCAGTGTTTCGTCCTTGGCCTTCTGAGATAGTATTGGCAAAGCTTTGCTTCACCTTCAAATTAAAATGTTTTTCATTTTATTTATTAAATATGTACTTTGTTACGGGCCATTTAAGAATTACAGTTATGAGATTAGAAAGTTATCTTAATGTTAATCTTTACATCGTAATCTTTTATGCTAGAGATATACTCTTGTGTCCTTAAATGCGTATATATCTGAAAATAAAAATAATCGTTTTATGTTCACTATAAACAGATTATTAAATTAACCACAACTAAACTAGTTATTTAAAAAAAACGTTTCAAGTTTTGGAGACATCTATTTTATTTCAAATTCTGTTATATTGCGGAGGTACGTTATCTGGGACCAATAAATACATGGCATGTCTTGAATGCATCAACTACCTGCAAATACAAAATGAATAATCACATTCTGCCACAGTACATTGGATATATATATATTAAAAAAAAAATTAAAAAAAAAAATATATATATATATATATATATGTTTTTTTTGATGCTTTTATATTTGTGAAATGAATTGATTTTACAACGTGGTATTTATTATTTTAATTGTATTTTTCAAGCAGATTAATCGCTACATAGAAACAAAATGTCAGCATTGAATCTAATCGTTTCGTGTTGATCATTCTTTCTAAGGACGTAAAGTCATATTGAAGGTGCAAAAAGTAACGATGTGTGGGCAGAAACATGTAATTCTTCGTTCATGCACACAAATATACAATACAAAAAAAAAACTGCATTTTGACACATTAGGAGTGCTGTCTTTATTGAGAGGTGTACGCCATTTTTTCTACTCAAGCTTACTGGCTTTTGCTTTGAACAACAAAAAACGTAGCACCCCAAGTTACAATGCAATTTTTTTCATTATTTGCCGGTAAGATTGCCTTCTTCCGTTTGGCATGGAAGCGATGCAGAAGTTACACGTAATAAAATGTCATAACCAAATCCGGCAAACTTTAAAACTGGTTAATTCTCGAATTACGTGTTGCTAGCAGATGAGACCTGGCTGGTAAACACCCCAGTCTGTCAGTAACTCGTATGTGAGGACCGGTTGAGTTTACATCTGGAGACGTAAGTTCAAAAGAATAACCTATTTTAGTTTCGACAATCAACGTTTGATCGTTAAATTTTTTCTTTCGAAGGACACCGCGCCGTGGGAATGCATCGGGAGTTGATGAAGGCATAAGGCAAGCAAACGCTGAGTGAAAGCACAGTACGTGGATGACACAAACGTTTCAAGAACGATGATTGGACTGGGGAAGATCAGCGAGGAGGTGCGCAGAGGTTGGAAACCAAAGGACAAGAACGAATTACCGGGACCAAGGAGATTTTTCGCGAAAGCAGAGCTTGAGTCTAAGGGTTCTTTATCAGTGAAAACTGGAATTTAACATGTAACGTGCTACAGAGTTGTAGATTCAACGCCGAATAAGCGGAAACAGAGCAAAAAATGAGCCTCTGTAGATTGGCTCCAGGACACTTGGAAATGCGTGCAGTGGATTCCACGGGTAATTTGTGGAACAACAAAAATTTGCCTTAAGCATACGATCGCCATAGGCGAGGTAAAATTCAGTCTCGACCACGAGATAGAAAGCAAGTAGGCAATAGAATGGCGTTCCCCTAGAAAGACATCGAATACAACAACAGTGTTAAATAGGTTCGGACGGAATATAGTAGTAGTATTATTAATAGATAATATAATTAATAGATATTAATGGCATATACTACTAAGGGAGACTCGCCAAAAATGAACCAACTCAAGGGACTCAAGACATCAAAAGCACGCAGTCTAGTTACTTGATAACAACGCTAGACCTCATATTGTCATGCCTGAACTAATTTATAGACTAACTAAAAGAATATTCAACATTTATGTATACTCGCTTACTCTCCTAATCGTAGCCTGTGTAATAGCGGGGCTTTTCATGCTCTAAAAAGCCTTTTTCGAGCATGAAAAGCCCCCAGCAAGCATACCCCAATATCGATTTACTACGATACGCTATAGAAAAATGTCATATGTCGTACGCGAATTGGTGGTAATTGCTATCCAAAAGTTGCTATAGCATTGGGACAGTGTGTAAAAAATAAAGGAGAATACCTCTGACAAAAAATACAAGACCACTCCAGTTCAGCTAATTAAAAAATCGTTCAATTTCAAAGTCCACCGGATTCGTTTGTAACAGCCTAGTAGTTTCAGAAATTATCTATAATATTCATTTGCCATACGTACAGCTTTGTCAATTTGTTCGTCATCTCTGCTGCAAAACGCTTGAAATTCTGTGGTATCATTGATTCCTCCAGGGCTGTCAAGGACTTCCTGAACACAGGTTACATGCCTCTCTAGGATAATAAGCGTATCATTTAAAACGACTTGATCGATGTCGCGCAGTGTCTTCATCAAGCAGGGTACCTTAGTGTTTAAGGCTAACTGTAGGCAACAGAAATTAAGCAAAAGTAATGTAAATAAATGGAGGGTCACTGATTCATATTAGATGCTATTTAGGAAAGATACGGATTTCGCTAAAATTATTGACCACAGCAAAATACACTCACAGGGTAAGTTCTAATTAGCGATTTCAAATAGTTTCGAACTTCAAAGTTAGCTAACGTCAAATACGTAGTAGCAACTGTAGAAACGAATCATAATTAAAATTGCCCAATGTGTAACATTCACCTTTTAGAATCACTGTATTCATAGCTGGTGGCATTGATTTTTTTTATCATTCAAAAATTTGTTTCGGTTTTACCTGCGTTTGGTATTACTTCTCATATAGTTTGTCTGCAGAGAAGGAAAAAAACAACCTTTTGATTATTTAGAGAGGGGGCGACGGTAACAGTGATATTTTAGGTTTTATTGCATAATTCATCGTATACATCTGTAGAGGTGGATGTTGATACTCAAGCCCACTTTACCGCAATTGTTCCTCCAACAAAAACTCTAGGCTCGTGCTAGCTATAATGCAGGAAAGATCGATCAATGTTTTCTAGCGAGAACTAAAAGTTCAACTAATAGTAAGCATTAACAAGAGTATGATTAAAATGAGTTGTTAGCTCAAATAGTGTAGACATAGCCGACACGTACGTGCACACGCAACGACGTAAACTGCGGACCTTTCCTTTGATCGTGCCCCTTGTATAGCGACCTTGTTTCTAGTGAGCGTACGGAAATTTTGTCAATCAACAATAAAATTTCCATATATTGAATGAAAGCCGGACGTCCGAGCGCCGCAATATGAGTGTACTCATTCTACAACTACGAAAAACTCAGTTGTCACACAATGAAACTGTATAGTGTGCACTGGCTTCATATTATAGATAAAATGTATCATAGCGTTTCGCTGAACGCCAAGCTGTACGGGTCAAAATGATTCTTCTCTTCTGCCTTTTTAATTATTTGCCTCTTTTGTTTATTATGCCTTTGAATCAAAAATGTGCCGCGTGATATAAACTCAATTTCACACTATTTAATACGGTGAAAAATAGTCTCTTATTATATCTATAGTTCGCATGTCTCTATAGCATTTCTTCTCAAAGTTCTGTTGATTATCAATAGTGGACGATCTTATGAATACAGATCGAGTTGATATTTTGTTGATAGGTAAAGTGGGCCAGAATGTTCCGTTCACTAAGATATCTATAACAGATAGACAACCGATGCTGTACGGTTCTTGTTCAACGCGTCTCAATATTTTTCGTAGTCTCCTATTATCTAGATCAGACTTTTTGCAGAATTTAGCTTTTTTTGGATTAGTGAATATAATTATCTTACGCTAGATCAGCTCATAAAATTCTATAGTGCAAAAAAAAAAGTTCGACTAACCTGCCGTATTTCCTTAGACTCAAATCTTCCACGAGTGTCCTGATCCATGAATCTCATAAGAATAGCGACCGTTCGATTCATAACTAATTCAGGTAGTTCGAGCTTAACTTCTGTCAAATTGTCTATGGAAGTGTTTTCGGTGACGAAATTAATTCTGTTATTTAACCGCTTGTTATTCGTGGCAGTCTCGGTGTTAACTGGATCCGTCGCAGAACTATCGCCTCCATCCATAGCGCTGCCATCCGTTATTCCGAGGACGAGCACCACATACGCCAAAAGGAAGACGGATGCACAAATCCACGGGATCTCCATCGTCGCAAGGAAAGGATCGTGACGCTCTTACCTCAGGACCTACCGGTTAGCTCTCGTATGCCGATGACAAGAAACAGCAGAATTTAGAGCGAACAGAACAGTTTACTAGTGCAGAGAAGATTATTGTGAGAGAAAGCTAAGTGGTTTAGGAAAACTCTATGGCAGACGCTGTAACAAACGTTACTTTGTATTGTATTGTATTGTAAAAGTATTTCATCTAATCATAGTCGGCTTTCCATTAAAACTTCCATTAATGTGTACTAAGGGTCCGCTAAGATATGTGACAAATTAGTGCAATGGGTTAAAAACAATAGTTTTTTTTTTACTCAAATCTACTTTTTTTTTTTTTGTAAAGAATTTTTAAAAAAAACTTGGCGAGTGTTTTTGTGTCGATCTTGGCTTGACAGTCTGCTTATTAGTAAGCGAATCTAGTTACATTTTACTACGACTACACATACCTGGGACAATAGAATCTTATGATCGTCAGTTATGCATGCAGCGTCATGCCGGTCGTCATCTTTTTTTCGGAGTTTAGGCTTGCAATTTCTCCGTTGTACCGAAATTATTTATTAAGCATACTCAATATCATATATTACACCATGTATGCTATCTTCAAGCATCGCTGCTGAAAAACTGAGTGAGTAATCTTACCTTTATGGATCAAACATACGCTGAAAGTAGACAGGAGCTAGCCACGAGAAGATAATGTGGAATAATATTAGAAGACTGCGCTCTGTCATGCGACGAATGCACGAGGCAAGGGAAGTTAGCCTTGATACATCCATATGAGTTCCGCTCGACTGCAACTAACTAACTAACAAGATATAGTACTACAGTATTGATGTCTGATTTTTCTGGCCCTACCTATTGAGAAACGCGGGAGGGTAAGCAGCAGTGCCCAAATCACTTTTTGCTACATCTACTCACACTTGAATCGCAATCCTCACTGTCGAAGATCTTTATACAGAGGTCTGCTTACGAAGGGCCGTCTACGGCAATCTCTCTTCGCTGCTCTTTCCGTAGAGACTATTATTACGCAATTCAAGAATGAATCAATTTGCTGGGATGCCACAATGGAAGAAGCATGGCCTCCACGAAACAGAAATGAAAACGCATACACATGAGCTGATTGCTCGAAAGTAGCGAGTCTACTATAGGATTTACAAAATAATCAGAAATCGACGTAGTGCTAGACGGGATTCCCCTAGAATAAATAGCCAGGTATTTTAAAAGAGAAAAACAAAATTATAATCATAAGGCCTGCTTTCAATTTGAGTTAATCATTTTACTGCACCGGCTAATATTGCGTGCATTGTTTTTTTTTCGTCAAGGCTTTGATTGTGGTGGCTACGAACGTTGTATCGACTAGCTTCTTATTAACAAATTTAACTCTAAACGCTATCGCAGCACCGAACCTGGTAACTTGACAGTTAAAACGCCTGCAAGGCATTCGTTGAAACTTGGCCTAAATGATTACACGTCACTATTTAGTTCGGTAACGTTTTCCAAGAATAAGCGTTAGGCGTAATGCTAAGACAAAAGTTACACGTGTGTTTTTGATTATTTCTTGTTATTAATTAACTTTAATAATAGAATAACTATATTATATTTTTGTAACTTTATAAAAAATATATTGTTTCTCTAATTCGGACGGTTTATTGGTCATCTAATGCCTCTCTAATAACACTCGATGATTTTAAAGCCTTTTACTTCTAAACAGTAAACAACAGACCGTGTTCTCCTCGTAGATACAATTCATCTTTTACATTAGCAGATTCCTCGTAAAGGATTGCAGGTGTCAGTATCATTTATATATGATAGCAATCAAACATTTGCTAGCTACACACTTCACCTGGTATTAGTCTGTAATTGGCTAACAGGTACCCATATTCGAAATTGCTAAAGTTACAGCCATGTCTAAAAAACTTGAATATTCTCGCAATTCATAAGACAAATATATTGTTCTTAAATTGCAGCACAAGATATCCTGATATTTATCATCAGATCGTAAATTAACCATTCTGATTATCACATTAGAAAAATTATTTTATTCAAGTGTTAAAAAAAAAAACTGTTGTTATTAGCATTGAATAAAATCATGCGCCATCTATAGACGTTCTATTGAAACCCCTACCGAATATTTTTCGAGCGTTTGCCTGAATATTCATATCGTTAAAGAAAACCTAAGATAATGATTAGCTACGAGGTACATATAGCACATTTCACAGGAAAAGGTAGATTAGGCCGCCGTTTGGGCCAGTACACGCAGTTGTTTGCTATCTTGTCACACTAATTAGAAATATTATTTCAGCAGCGCCATCAAAGAAATTACGTTATAGAACCAAAATCTGCTTTGTGAAGCGTAGATATATTATAAGTGTTCAATGTGTAAGACGCAATATGTTGAATAGATGTTTAATGATTTGTTTATTTATGATGAAAATCAATCAAGGCTGAAACTACGAGTGGGAAAAATCGCGCACTGCAGTAACGTGTGGTGCCCGATCGCTCATATTCGAACTTGCTACACCTTCGCAGCCTGAAAGATCAAAACAGATTTCAGTAATACTGCTGCCGTTACTTTTTAACCCACCTTAACCAAACGCGTTCGTCCACTAAACGATATAAATCGTAATATTGAGAAGTATTTGGAATTCCTCTATCCACATGGATCAGCAGGTAATTGGTCAGCTCTAAAAGCTTAATGATGATTAAGTTTAAAAACTTAACTTAAAAAAAGCTGACCAATTTTTTTTGTTTTCAAAAGAAACAGACCTGAGCCAATTACATGTAGCAATAATCAATAAAGTAACAATTCCGATCGATAGTATGCGATAAGCATGGATTACTTACAACTTTGAGAGCCTGATCGAGATCTTCCACCAGGTCGTCGACATTCTCTAGGCCAATTGAGAGACGGATCAGGTTGTTGGTTATACCTAATCGTGCCCTTTGCTCCTCAGGCAGCAACGCATGGGTCATTTTCGACCTGCGAGGAAATGCCGTGTTCAGAGAACGAAACATTATACGACTTGGTTCATTTGATGTTTACGGAAAAAGATGTAGGTCGTAAAGTAGAGCGAAGGCACCCTAGAATGCAGTTGCTTAATAAGTTGGCCCTACTTGATATACAACGTTTGTTTAATCTCTTGCATGTAGCACGTCGTTGCCCCGTCTGTGCCAGCGTAACTCGAAGTGGAGCAAAGCATTTAACATTTGATTATTCCTAGCTTATAGAGCTATTCACTGGATACATTTTATACGGAATATTGCCATCTATTGTAACACAACGGGAGCTCAAAAATAGTGATACCTAGGTACTGATAGGTTAACCCGTGTTTCACTGAGTGAGACAAAACGTGGCTGATTAACAATTCTGTCGGCTCAGTCAAGGCCGGCCGATATTATCGTATGTAGCTAGTCAACTAAGTTTAACATGAACAGTAATGAATTAAGCCAAAAGAAAGACAAGACATACGGTAATGAAGCGAGAGATTCAACAGCTCCCAGACTCTCAGCGATGGAGAATATTTTCAGCGACGTGAGGAAAGCACGTGATTCCTTCTCACCACCCTAAATCAACAACAAGAAATAACAATTTTGATCCGAAATCGATTGTATTATCCAAAGATTTATGTGTTATCAAAGAATGACCTTCAACTAAAATACCTTTATATAAAAGCTGAGCATTCCACTGAAGCCGCTACACTGTTTTTTGGCCGTTTCATGCTGCGGGTGTGAGGGAAGTCCTGGATGCAGTACCTGAATTTTTAATCAGAATGAGTTTAATTTACCGGTCGGCGATAAAGCCCCAGCTTAGCTACCAAATCTTCACGAATTGTATATACATGTGATGTCACCAATTAAATAAAACAAGTATTAATTACGTGTTGAGTATCTCCGAATAGCACAACTTTTACCTTGGAATAAGCCATCTGAGTTCATCACTTGGAGAGCACCAACCTTTTGTACTTGAGGATTACTTTCGAGAAAACGGGCAATTTTCAACCCGTTTTCCTGGTGTCTCTCCATACGCACCGCTAGCGTCTTGATGCCACGATTGACAAGAAAACAGTCAAAAGGTGAAGGCACTGCACCAATAGCGTTCTGAAGGAACCGCAAGCGTTCATGGATATCTTCTCGATTGGTTATGATACAGCCCATTAGAGCGTCGGAGTGCCCGTTAATATATTTCGTAACCGAGTGCATCACGACATCAGCGCCTAGAGCTAATGGATTCTGAAATTATTTAACATTCAGAAGTTAGAACTTTCTTTTCTCTGTGTCTCACTTTTTTTTTCACTTTCAATTGAATATTAGTAAAACACAAATAAAAGTTTAGCCATATGCATATGTCATTTATATCAATGTAGTACACGTTCCCATTAGCACCGACTTAAAAGCAAAAATCGGGTAACTTGTCTTCTGATTGTCCTAATAGGAAGTTTTTTTCTCAGCTATTTGTAGCTGAGGCCTAACCTAACCTAACCTACTTACGGGAATGAAACAAACGATGAGAGGTATTGTACCAGAATGTGCACATATCCTGTAGAAACTCATTATCAATTAGTGTCAATACGCGTCATAGTAATTTTGCGTTGATAAAGTGATCCCTAATTAAAAGCGGTTGAACACGAAAGATGGGACATTGTTATCACCAATTAATAGGCCTGGACACGTGCAAAGGACAGAGGAAACTATTGTAGATTTTATTTGCTAAGTAAGATATGCTTTATTAGGGTTTGTTAGGATATCGGTCCTGTTTTACCTGAAAGTAAGGGCTCATGAAGGAGTTGTCCATGACGAGTATTGCTTCCGGCGCCCCTTTCTTGACTACGACGGACACGGCAGCGATATCGACAATTTTCATCATTGGATTAGACGGCGATTCCACCCAAATTAGCTAAAAGTCGAAAACGATACAAAGATGTCACATTCTTGAAAACATAACAAATATTGTAAATGTAAGTACAGCCTGAACAAATGTAGCAAAATGTTGTATTACGGCGGGACGGGAAGAAAATCATAACACAAAATGTACTATATATCCGCAAGCGCAATGCGACAGTAAGAATATATAAATCCCATGACTATTATAAGTATGATGCAATTTCAAATTCAATACTTTGTGTAACGTACTTTTGTGTTAGACTTGAGCGCCTTAGAGACGTTATCGGCATCAGTAGCATCAACAAAATCTACTTCAAGGCCATGTGGCACCGCGCAATGACGTAGTATACGGGTCACGCCACCGTAGAGGTCATCAAAGGCCACGATATGATCTCCAGCATTCACGAGATGAAGGACGTTGTCCACTGCCGCCATACCCGAAGAGTAACACAGCGCAAATTTGGCTTTCTCTAGTGAGGCGATACAAGTTTCGAGACAAGTTCGACTAGGGTTTCCAGAACGGGCATACTTGTAACCCTGTAATAAAATCATATGTTAGTGTGACAGTTCCCCGATTGATTCATGTAACAGGGTATTAACCGACCCTTCTTTCGGCTGCTACCTTAACCAAGCTTTTGGCAATGTCTAGCGAAAATTGAAACGAACGCACGATTTCTGCTATGAAAAACTTAATTAAAAAAGTGTGTACTTAATCAATGCATAAAATAAATGTTAAGCATTAACCACGTTCGCTCGAAGGACTCTACGCGAAGCCTAAAGGATATCTTTGTATATAAATAGTCATATTCGAAATCATTAAAAAAAAAAATCAAGTTATCGGGAAACAAACTATTTTATCAGCAAATAGTAAAATAAACAATATGACGAAAAACGTATCAATCATGTGCCATGTATTTGGCATACAAATTGTTGTCTATTTATGTGCTTTTCGTTTTCTTACCGCATGTTCACCTGGCGCAAACTGTTGAAAAGTGGTTGCAAGAGAAATCGGCGGTATGACAGGATTTGAGTTCCAGTTTTTCGGGTTTTGTCCAGCATGGATCGCGTTCGTTTCGATGCGAAACAAGTTATTTTCGGACATTTTTCAGACAGAACCGATCTGAAAATAAGCTGAACTAATCAACGAACTTAAAAGTCATAAATGATTAGAAAAAAAACAGGCCCGTACATACTGCATTCATCTATTAGCGGCCCGGACCAGAGAGGGTATCGGTGAGCGCTCGAGGAAAACCCCTTTCCTTTAAAGTTTTACTGCCCAGTCGCCAGAGGCCTTAAAATTGTCTTTAAGGACTTTAAAGGCAATAAGAGCTTTGACTTGCTAACTCAGTGGCGTGGCACTAAAATTGCTAGAAACTGGTCGTTTGCCTGATAATAAGATTAGATTGCTTCTTTTATATACTTTTTGTTTAACGGCGGAGCTTTTCATTCCACATTACCTAAAAGTGTGCGGGGAAACTATGATAGCAATGTCTGTCATCAGAAATCGCCCTCTAGCTTCTCACCCTATAACAGCCCATCGGTTGCCTATGGCATAGAAATTACACACCTGAAGAAACTAAGACGCCCGGACCTACCTACCTACCTATCTTAAGTTAACCTCGTCTGCACGGCAAAAAAATAGTGTACCTCCCCGTAGAAATACTTTTACTCAGAGAAACGACACCTTGACTTTCCGCCTACACCTGCTTTTAACGAACCTCTCGCAACTTAGGAAGGTAAGTTCGCGGAAGTAGACGTACAGTTCTACAGATGTGAAGCTATTCCAAGCTATGGCAGTGAATTATAATTAGGCGCGCGGTGCGTGGCCTAGTATCTATTCACCTGAAAAAGCATCGTTTATGATCTTTCCGGAATTGTTTACGAGAATATAATAGCTTTTGCGGTCTACCTGATAAAGGTATATACAGTTTACTCATTCATGTTATTATTCGTGTTGCTCTGTTGTCCGTCCTTGCCTAAGCTTAGGTTTGTGCAGACTAATTCTTGAAACCGTAAATTGCCAATTTACATGTACGTCAACGTACCTGCTACGTAGCCCCAACAAGAATTATCAATGTTTTTCACTAAACACATTACATGCCCCAATCAGTTCAGCGTCTAGTCGTCTTTTAGATGACTCATAATCAACAAAACGATACGTTTACTCCACTCAATCCCGCTGCATCGTTATTATGAAAAAAAAAAAACATACTAACTTCAATAGTATATAGTAGTTTTTGTCAGTCAGATCAGTTTGAGGTGATTTGATGTCGACATTCACTGGGGTTCTGGGTGAACAGCGCTAATGGCGTAGACAAGTCAATCAAATCCGTTAGCTTGTTACAAAAAAAAGTTATTGCTCACTTTTTAGTACTATAACAAACTACTACGTTACGTATCAAACAATTTTGTGTCTGATCAAACACCTTGTTCTTTCCTATTGCTGCCTGTCTGGTAAGTGAACCCTAGCCTTAAAGCGGAAAATATATGCGCACTAGTCGCACGAGATACGGCAGATAGCGATAGTTGCTCAGTTTTCATTTTCCTATGACAAAGACGTTCTGTGAACGGTCTACTTTCCGACGTCTGCTTATCTAACACGTAACAGACGAGTACAGGCAGTACAGGATTCTATCACCTTTCGAAGACAAACGTCCGACCACTGTCTTTTGCTGCGAGCTGTTATCAGCTTTTGTGTATAGTACTTTTGTCAATATAAAATCTCATAGGTACGACCAATACCCACTGTGAAGTATGTATTCTTGAATAGTGGCAGATCAAGAGCAAGAACTTAGTCCAAAAGAGCCGTTCGTTCTTTGTGCAAACTATATCCTGTTATCTTCATATGTTAAATTGTTGTGTCAACAGTAAATATAGGCATCACTTCGTTAATGATTCCTTTTTATTAAGAAAAAAAAAAAAATGATTTACTAAAACGCATAATCTCTATAGGAGTCGGTTCGTACTTTGTTGCACTGTGATGTTGCAGGAAACAGAATACTTCCCTTTAGCTTTCCTTACGGAAAACCAGACACAACTACCCCTGAAGACCTGGAAAAGCAATTTGTGACTGCGCTTTATTGAACATTCTATTTACTTTAAGGTTAGCAGCAGGCTATGCTCTAGATAGTATTCAGCTCAAAAAAACGTATACGCTTAAATTACGTTACCTAACAGGAAAGCTACGTGCTCGTCATCAAGCACATTTTCCTAGTAGTTTAAGTAATAAGTGACGTCATGCTATAAGGTGCCAGCAACTGACGGTTTCAAGAGTCTCTGCGAGATTCTTAATGAGGTTATCGGCATTTTCAAAGCCAATGGAAACACGTATGTGCCTGCCAAATTTTGACCGCTTCCTCTGGGAACAATGCGGCATACTACCGCCAATTTGAAAAACACTATCTTATAATTTCAATAATTTAACAGTTATAGCGCCTAGCATACGGCTGTCTGATTTAGATGAACATTTTGTTATTTAGATTTAACATAATACTACATAGGTTATACATCGTGGATAAAAATAAATATTTAATAGAAAATAATATAACAAATATTAGTTTTTTGAAAATGAAATCTTAAACTGATAACACGACCGGTTTTATTTTAGCTCAACGTTGATGACAAAATTATCCGCTATCGTACAAGAGCAAAAACAAGTACAAAAAAACTGCCACGTCGCAGAATAACAATTACCATAGGATCTAAATCATTAACTTGAGTCAAATAGACATTTATGGCAGTCACGTAAGTAAGTTAACGTTTCTGAGGCTGACTGCGAACTTGAAGATGTTTTAAGGATTTAAGCAATACACGCGCCACCTTCTCGCCGCACGAAAAATTACAGGTAGGGAGTAGATGAAAAGTATTAAAGCCTCATTTGATTCTAACTCCGTATATTCCAACCGATATCACGTAACAAACAAGTGATTTGTTAGATACTCGCATTCGTTTAACTTATTAATTATAAACTATCATCGCAGGGCAATATATGCCCCCGATGAAATAAGCGAATGTTACCAACATATTCATATAGAACAATTAGTGTATCGCCCTAATTGCAGGGGGTCTGTGAGGAACGCGTGCGGATAAGATACACAAACGTTACCATTGTCAGAATAGGATAGCCATAAGAGGATCCGTAGCGTGCTAAATGATTATTAGACAAAACCTCAGACAGTGAAGGTGTCTACTTGGCTTATCATTAGTAGTCGTGCTGAGACTTGCGCAACACATGATGAATACTTTCCTAATAAATGACCATGCAGTAAAACGGTATATGGTACCGATCTATATATATGTATGTGGTAAGATATGAAGTGTAAATATTTGAGTTTTATATTCGTCACAAATATAGACAGTCACTGAAAAGCTGACCTCTCCATTGAAACCATTGCGTTGCCCCATTGCGGTGTCGTGCTGAGAATCGGATGGCAAACATAGGTGCAACAGCAAAAAAATGAGAGTCGAAAAAGCATTTCTTCGCGCGAGCCTTTCACTTAGGATAAATTACTGATGGCCAGGTTGTCGCTTTTTTTCTAGAGGTTTTTTCCTAATTTCGCATTCTAGTATCCATAGCAAGGTTGAGCAATTGGTAAAGCGTAACTGGCAATATTTCTTTTCTTAAATTACGAGTGTAATTTATTCATGTCTCGTAAACGAAAGATACACTTTAGAACATACAGACAGGCCAAGAATTTATACGGGAAGCCTATTTCAATTAATTTTAACCTTAATAATGGGCAAAGTTCTGTTACTACCTAGCTCCAGAACTAACGAAGATCGACTCTTTAAACGGTAGGGTGCTGTTTCAAGAAAGCATCGATTTTCAATTCATTGCCTTAATTAATTAATTAACAACAAAGGCACTGTTCAAATAAATTCTACAGAAATCGCTAATGTATTATATCGGGTGCACTACGAAATCACTATCCAGACTTCTGGAACTTTAAAACAAGCCGATAACTGTATCGCGAAGAGGCCTTTCCGTCGTTCACGAAAAATGTCTACGAAAAATGAAAAAGATGATGTAGGTGAAATAAGCTTGTAATAAAAATGGCCTGGAAATAAGTATTTGAAGGCATTGCCTGCACCGAGTATTGCATCGCTGATGCCGCAGCAGCAATAATTTCATTATTGACGGTTCCATATAGTTATCACAGTAAGCATGCTAAGTGACAATGATCTATGAATAGAAAAAGGATCAATATTATCATATATGAATAAACAGACGGACACAATTGTTGCTAACCCCGAAGTATCTAACCCCCAAGTGTCATGGAGGGGTATTGGTGTGCAGAGTAGTTGTCCGCCAATTAGTAGAACACATTGGCTAATATGCTTAGTAAATTAGTTAGTTAAGTTATTCCACTTAAGCCTTTGGCTCGGGAATTTTTTTGTTAGCTTCGTAGCGTCAACAAGATCAACTCGATATGGCATAGTGACGCAGTGTCGAAAGCCACGACATGATCCCTGGTCTCGGCGAGATGAAGTAAGTTGTCAAATACAACTGTACCAAAAGCGTGGCATAAAACAAAGATTGAACCCCTTTCATTGCAACAAGTTTTGAGGCAGGCAGGCAGGCAGGCAGGCAGCGGTAACCTTGTAAATACGAGACGCACACCCTGTGTGGGTACGTAGCAATAACGAAGAGATATTCCCTACGATAGCTTTAATTGATCACCTATGTTGCCTTTGGAATTCTAGCAGGATACGAAGCACGTGGCCAGCATTAACTTCGATCAATGATTTTGGCATCGAATTTACGATGCGAGCTTTTTGTACACAAGCTCCAGAAATGCCCCATATAGAAATCGCATGACTTCCCTTATGCGACACTCTATGAACTAATGTGTGCCAACGTAAGCATCAACAATCTCTTTAACATTGAAGCAAACTACCCTATGAGACGTGGGCAACTACCGTCTGCAGGTGGAAACAATCCACAATGATACAATATACAGAAATGTTTAGCCGCGTCATATTAGGTGACGTACACTGGTTTCATGTAAACATGGTAGACAAAAAGTATAATATAATTATCCTTTAATTGCTCCGTAGATTACACTCTGAGGAGCTTGTACTATCGGTGTTCCATACCCTGTACCTGATTCAGCTTGTCTTTTTTTTCTTTGCTTACAAAATTAAATGAAAAAAATGCGCCAAAGTAGTCACTGTGTTTGAACTATACAGCTTTGTCACGTCATACACCTAAATATAAGACGGACAATCATAACAGTTAGTATCTCTTATATATTTATTTTTGCTAAGTGCTTCTCCCTATGAACGATTTACAACGCTGTCGTTATATATTCCTCGTGTAATGGCATAACGAAAGCGACTATTTACTTTTAGACTTTCAACCGCCTGGTTTTTTTGCAAGCGGAAATCTTGCGTCTTTCTCAATGAAATAGGAAACAAATGTTCACAGATAAATCTGATAAACTTTTAATTTTAAAACTTTCAGATAAAACTGATAATTTTTTTTTTTAACAGTCTTTCTCACATAGGAAACAATGAAAGGGCGCACTTACCATTTGCACATTAACCAGCATTGGTTGTCCGGCAATTTAATTTTCTCAATCCATTGATTTCCTTGTTTCGACAGAAGATAACATAAGCTGTAGATCCTTTCAATGCTTTACGCTTCGAGTCAGTTTTACGATGGTTCTCATCACAGCTATACTTATGCGCACTCGGGCGGATTATATGAGAAACACACCGGTACACTCTGCTTCGTCGCTTTATCCTCCACAAAGGCAATATAATACAATGGATGGTCGTTACATATTAAATGCAATAAAAAATACTACTCTCATTAGTTGTGAGCGTTTTAGTACATTACATGACAGTCATGAATGTTTCGTTAGAGACCACAATTGCTAACTAGGTCACTATTAATCCTTGTGACAAAGTAAAAATCGTCTTAGAAGAAAAGTGTTCCGCTTGGCCACCCAGTTCAAAGGTGGTCATAAGCGAAACAACTGCCCCCCGAATTTTATCACTTCGGGCCTGGCCGGCCTGAACGCTAAAGAGAGCTCACTTGAAGGCATATTCAGATCTATTTTAATTAAGCACCCTTGAAGGTATTTCGTTAAACCATTGAACATCAGTCACGCAGGTGCAATCTATTTCATTTTATGCGTATAACACCGTAATAAGAGGTACGTAAGCATTGTTTGTTTTGGGACTTCTACCTTCTTCCATTGTTCTTACATTTATCCAGTTTATGATTTTCCTCTAAAGGAAGCTTTGTACCTAAGAGAAGGATAATATTGGGCTTAAGAGCTCTGCGATTTTAGGTTCTGACTCCTTCCGCTGCTACAACAGATAGGAACGCATTGCAAGTCTCTAAACTCGTCTCTATAAACCGGATGAGAGTGGATGTACGAGGAAGTTCCTTCTGGCTTTTGCTTTTTTCTGAAAGTTTTTTTTCTGAGAAGCCTTTAGCTACTCAGATTGTACCCTACATTTTGCGTTCATATCCTTTATATCATGTATGCCTGTTTTTTAATTGGGCTTCTGGTTACTTCAAGCTATGTACCATACGTCACCTAAACGGTTAAAGCGAAACATCGCCACGAATTGAAGAATGGCGGGTAACAGGAACGCGATGCGGAATAAAAAATACAACTTTATCTAATCAGTTATTAATACTATTGAACCCTTTTTAAGATCGAGTGGAGAACAACCGGACTGACTCAAAGTACAACGCTTTATGAAGTGCATGCAAATGAATAAGCGAAGTATCCTGTGCATTACGTCGCACTTCACTGCAGTTCATGAACTTCCAAAATGGACTGACACTTCGTCTATAATATCTAGGAAATGCCGATTTACTACTGGGTCATTTCATAAATGCAACATACCTACCACGTGGCCCAAACTGTCTATTTCAATGACTGTTTACCTATTAATAAGCCAAATACATTGACGTCTACGTGTACCGATAAAATCATTTCCCCTCCAAAAAGGAAAAGCCTCTCAACTTGATTGAAATTGACTAATTAAAAAATTATTTTCCTTCTTCTCAGATCAAATGGAAATTAAAACATCTACAGTGGATGAAGTGGATATTCTTAAGTATCTTTGAAGGGCAAATCGAGTTCGAAACAGTCATCCATTTACCAAGTAACTACCCGCTAGCTCCTAGATAATTAGCAACATGTCATAATTTTTATATTTCAAATAAAACAGTGCACTCTAAATTGTTCTCCTCCTAATTTAAATTTTTATTAAAACAGAAGTATAACCATACAATTTACTAAAGTTGTGTAATTTTTATAAACATAGTCTTCTTTAATCATGGCCAGAAACTAACATCTCTCGTTGCAGTATGATGTTGCAATCAACGAAGGGCCTCTACTTCGCCTTCGTGGCCTGAAAAATTATGTGGAATTTGGTTAGCGTTACAAACTTGCAGAGTATACATATTCAGAGACATATTGAGGTACCTGCTTTAAAAGCAACAGGTCGAACAGCTGAAGCAAATTAAGCAGCGACGAGTAGTTAGAAACGGTTGACGTAAGAAACTTACCACCAAAGACTCACTTATAATTAGTCCGTTTCTACAGTGAAAGTGAGTTTTTGCCTGCCTGTGATATTTCCTGCCACAGCTTCGCGATATGCCATGCTGCCAGAAGCGAATCAAGCAGACTATTTGCTATTAAACAGAATTTCAGCTAGCTGGGCTATAATAATGGATTTCCAATATGTATTCGAGCTAATCTCTTATTTTTTTCACACACTTGTCGCAACGCTCCGGCAGCTTCTGTACCTGTCCTGTACCTACAATTCGCGTTCCTGTATGTAATTTCTCTATCTATGGCCTCTCAACGTACATCGATAGAGGAATACGTTTGCGTACCAATTACTTTTTTTTAGGCCATGGGAAGCCCCGTAATCACACGGACTTAGATAAGCAGGATAAGCGGGTTAAAGCCAACGATAGGTTTTCTGTTACCCAGAAAAAAGTAGTTGAGGCATAACAATGAGGTCTGGCGTATTTATTAAGGGCCCATACCGCGTGCTTTTAGTTGCTGTGCCAACAGTCTTTTTTAAAACTTGAGCTGCATTCATTATTTCCTTTTTGGCAGGTAGCCCATAATATCAGATGTCCCAAACATGTGGTGCAAGTGTGTCTGTCACCAAACCTATTCGACGCTGCCACCGAACTTGATTTCTTTCCAGACAAACGCCATTCTCTTGCTTGGTCGGACGGTAGAAAACGAACTATACCTTGCGTGTGGCAACCATAAACTTGAAAGAAGTCTTGTCTTGATTAAAATTTTATAAATTGCGTATAGATTGCATACACATTAACTAGTTTGAGGTAAATTCAGAACAACTATTTCAGTCGGCTCCCGCATTTTCAGTATTTGGTTTATAATCCTGTAATTTATTATATGTGGAATGATAGTTTTGGCCGACAGAGCTTTTGAACCTTCCGTGAAAAGCCTCCTCGATTGCAACAATATATTTCTATCCTTCAAATCCCAATTTTTTGTTGTCTCCTCGCTAATCTTTAACACTCCGAGTTACGTTCTTGCAACGCCTGGAACATTCACGCACTATGCCTTCGTGCGCTTTTTAGCTCTGAGCCGTTTATTTTCTGAATTTATTTCTACTGAAGTAAACTCACACAAGGTCTTCTCTTGTGCATACAAGTTTTTAGAGGTCTAGAGTGTTTACCATCTAAACTTCGTCTGCTAGCGACTAGTTCAAAAGCTATTCAACTTACTCGTAATAGTCGAACAATTAGGAAACTTCACTTTAATTATTTTTTTGAATTGAGGCTAAATGGTCGTTATCGAGATAGAGCAATTTTTAGTAAAGTAGTGCGGTACGAGATGCTAAATACTTGCCGCCTCAAGGGCCTGTGTGAGGTCCTTGATGAGGTCATCGGCATTCTCAAGACCAACGGAAAGACGAACGAGCGCGTCAGTGATACCAAGCCGAGCCCTTTGTTCTGGTAGCACCGAGGCATGAGTCATAATTGAACTGCAATAAAAAAAAACTTGTTTAGTAAGTTTCTTTTATTGCATTTCTATTATTATATTACTAAATGAGTTAGGGAACATTTTCTCTTCAATTTAACATGTTCTCAGCTCAGTCTTTATCGAGGTGTGTCAACATCAGAATTTTCAATTTTAGTCAAATTTAGTTAGCTGACCTACTTCCTCTTGACTAACAAAAATATCGCCATTAACTATCTACAGTCTGAATAATATACTTCATTCAGGTAGGTACGTACGGCAGTTCGGCAAGGGATTCAACGGCGCCGAGACTTTCTGCGAGCGTGAACACCTTTAAAGCTGATAGTAGAGCTCGCGATTCCTTCTCGCCGCCCTAGAAATGACAAGAAGAGAATAGATGAAAACATTTCAGTCTAGTTTAGTTCTTCCTTCCTATAAAATTGTCGCCACTGCATATTGTTATAAAAAGGTCTTTTGTTGATATATGATTCGTGCAGCTACCCACAAAAAGATCCCATCACCCATTAGCGATCATTGACAAAGCTAAAAAACAATATTCGAACTCAGCGCCATAGTGCCTCCTTAGCCTTGTTAAGCACGCCTAGGTAATATTCCATTTAATAATTATAAATTCGACGGGATGTGTACGAGTTTACGCCCCACTAAATGAAATCCCAAAAAATACAATAGCGTAAATTTCAGTAGCAATCCAACGCGGAAAATACCGTTTCGACAACACCGTTAGTGGCAAAGTTTAGTCAGCACAAGACTTCAGTAATCTCTACAACTTCCTGTGAGTATTGATTACGTGAGAAGAGATTCATTTGTCGACGTCCGTGTACCTTTATGTAGAAACTGATCATTCCACTGAAGCCACTGCACTGTTTCATTGCAATATCGTGTTGAGGATGGGATGGAAGGCCTGGATGTAACACCTAAAAACATCTTAATGAAATAACAATTTTTATGCTTAGTGCTACCTAGATACGAATAAGATTAAGTTGTCGTGAGTGGTTTTCTTTAGTGGCCTTTGCTGATATGCGTCGCCAGAGTTTTAAATGTGAACTGCCTTTGAAACCGGAATTGGCAATATGACCCTATTCAGTTCTGCGGAGAAAAAACGTATTACTAGACATATCAACAAACTGCTTTTCATAGGCTATCCATCTTAATCTAAGTGGCCGTTAATATTGAATTCATCTACGTTCGTCCTTACTTCCATAGTTCAAGGATACTGACCTTTTCGACCTGAGGGTGCCGTTCCAGGAAGTTAGCAACCTTCAACCCATTTTCATGATGTCTTTGCATCCGAACTGCTAACGTCTTAATGCCGCGGTTAACCAGGAAGCAGTCGAACGGCGAAGGTACTGCTCCAATTGAATTCTGGAGAAATCGCAAACGCTGGTGTAGATCATCTCGATTTGTCATTAAACAGCCCATTACGACATCCGAATGACCATTGATGTACTTCGTTATTGAATGCATTATGAGATCAGCGCCCAAAGTTACAGGATTCTGAAACAACAACAACACCGTGTTGACAATAGTTGTAGCGCGGAAAAACGCCTCCACAGTTTATCGCAAACGTTGCGCATGTTTAATAGACATAAAAGATCGAAGAGAGGCAAGTAAACTGTTGGTAGCCAAGTTGTCAATCAACTTGGTTACCAACAGTTTGCTTGAATTAACAGAGCTTTAGCGGTAGGGATATTGCTCTATAAACGAAAGCGCGTTTCAGTTTCACCTGGAAGTATGGACTCATGAACGTGTTATCCACAGCAAATATGGCATCGGGTGCATTTTTCTTGACGAGAGCTGCTACAGAAGCGATGTCGACCAGCTTCATCATTGGATTGGACGGTGACTCTACCCAGACCACCTGCAAAGCCACGACCAAAGAACGTGCTATAACGCACCTCGTCGTTTGTAAAATGGTCATAATGTAATACTATATAAGTGTTATTAACGTGGCGATTAACAAATTTAAAATAAAAAAATACGCAGTTAGTACCTTCCTCTAAGAAGTAACGTTTGGTTAGAGTCATCGACGCATTTGCTATTAACATAAGTATTGTGAAGGTATTGCCTTTCTCTTGGTCGACTCTTGACCAAGATCGGATCACAGCCTCCGATTTTTAAGACTTTTAGGACGGAGCTGCGTGAGCCGTGAGGCGCGCACAACCTCGTGGCTACCCGTTTTTTTTTTTTTTACCAAATGCGTCCCTGCGACGCATTGCATTGATCATCGCCTGATTCTCCTATTAGAAGATGTGTCCCCAATTTCCTTCAGGCCTCTAGCGATTTGATCAGATTTCAGGACGTGGCTATTACTTCGTGAGCAAGCTCATATCCCCTGCATCGTTCAGGCCTGCACTATTAGTGAGTTTTAGGCTTGCATTCTTAGCTCATTGGTGTAGTGTTAAAGTGGAACTATTAAATAGATAAAAAAGCGCTAGTATGCTCGATAAATGCTAATATACAAATAATCTTTTTCCGAACACAGCAACAGATTATAAACTGTGTTTCATATATATATAAACTGTGTAAAATGAATGTGATTTCGACTGTTCATAACAAAAGAGTTTAAACTATTCCACTGACAATGGCTGGAAATGGGGCGCTGATCTGAAATTTATAAGACTTTAACCAAATTAGCTTATGGTTGTTATTAATTAACATACGCTAGTTGACTAAGCTAGAAAAAAAAAGGAGTCTGAATTCGCATTACGTACCTTTGTGTTAGGCTTTATTGCATCGGCGATGTTGGCAGGATCGGTAGCATCAACAAAATCAACTTCAAGTCCATGTGGAATGGCACAGTTACGCAACAGCCGGTTCACACCACCATACAGGTCATTGAAAGCAATAATGTGATCTCCGTTTTGAAGAAGGTGAAGTACATTGTCGACGGCAGCCAGACCCGAAGCGTAGCACAAGGCATACTTTGTTTTTTCCAATGCGGCTAGGCAGGTTTCGAGACAATTTCGGGTTGGATTACCCGACCGGGAATAATCGTAACCCTAGGAACGCGATACGTTAAACTACTAAAATCACTTCTACGGACCCACAAAGGAACTAGTCCTTAAGGGATTTAATTTTCGTATATTATATATCGAACATAGACAAGGTGCTCGATACAGAGGGCGCATGACTCTTGCTCGTCCTATGCGAAAATATACAAATAAATGACCCACCTCCAATGCAATGGTGAAGCCGACAAATTTTTAGCAAAAAAAGAGCAAATAGGCTAAAAGTGTTCAGAGAAATTGTTTTATTATCAACATCGATTGGTTCAACAATCTTTTCTGCAGGAGAGTATTGGGCCCGACGAGCCCAGCTCATAATGATGTATGCAATAATTAAGCGCGCATCAAAGATTAAGTTTGTTTGTTTTTTTTTTAATGTTCAGCGGCTTGTAACTATTGTAATAAATGATGTGCACTTGTTACTTGTAAAGGTACTTTGGCAAATGAAACTTACTTTATATATTAATTACTTTTCTACCTCTTAATACAAATTCAATTCGTTAATCTGATGCTTAATACCCTCAATCCGATGTGCCAGCTATGCTTGAGCATTGATGCTCATTAGTTAAGCCATAAACGAAACGAAAATGCCCCAAGGCAGCGATTTGGTAGGCACTGTAATCTTGATAGCGCACTGGCAACCTGTTTACCTAAAGTTAGGCGTACATAGCTTCAAAACGAGGTGTAGTCATATCTCGTTTCGTCCTACGAGACGGCCGTAAAATTAAAGGCAATAGCGGACATAAAACTCGAAACAAATATTTTGATACTGCACATACTATCGGTCAGTAACGTAGCTTCATGGCGTCTTAGGCACAAACGTTGATATACGACCGTAACCTAGTGATATGCCGGGTGATCCGTCTTACGTTTCTTGCCGTCAGTCATGTCGGTCTCCTGAATCCACACCACTAACGGTTTAGGGTACCTTGCACTTGATACATCTGTAGTTTCAACTGCATTTCGTAACTTGAGAAAGTTATGTTACAATTTGAACAGGGGCCTACCAGTTTAGGAACTTTCTAGGTTCCAAAAAACTTGCGCAAAAAACACATCTAGTCTTAGCGAATCAGGAACATCCCAGTATCTATTCCTTTGGACTATCTAGAATATCGATTATCTCGACATTCGGTTCAATCACAATTGTGTTTTTAAGGCGTATACATTAACATGTGTTGGCGCTGTTCGAGGCAGGGATAGTTTTGATTTCTTAGTCCGCCGATCGATTTCATTGTTTTAATAGGAGACACTAACAGATTCCACTTAAACTGAATTCCACTATGGTTATCGTAATACTTGCGGTACTTGTCAACGCCCTGGCGGTGAAAACCTTGAAACATTTCATTGCCGTGAAGCTTCGTCGCTTTACTTTCCATTAGGCAATGGAATAGAATAGATAGGTTACCAGATGCAACTAACAGTGACGGTATAAAATTTAATGAAATAACTACATGTGACAGTTATGTTGCTGATAATAATGACAGACATGACTGTTACACTACAAAATTGATTGCCAAGTAAGTAACTACTTATCAATAAGATAGGAGTGATGTGCGTCTTACAGAGATCTCAGCTGGGCCAGTTTGTTGGAAGGTGGTCGAAAGCGAAATGGGTGGGATAACTGCACGGGAATTCCATTGCTTCGGGTCCTGCCCAGCGTGAATTGCCTGAGTCTCGATGCTGAACGGAAGGTCTATCGAAGGCATCCTTGAGTCCGTTTTTATTTAAGAACCTTGAAACTCTAAATAGATTTGAATTAACCACAACATAATGATTATCATTTACTGTTATTCAATAACTTAATTTACATATTTAATAGTGAATAAATACGTACTCATATATGAATTATTTTGATTTAAAAGACAGTCAGAAGCTGCTTGGAAATCCTTTTTCAACAACATTCTGTTTCTAGCAGAGATTTTACCTGCTCGGCTTCAGCGTTCGCTTGGTCAATATAGTTTTTAGTTATTGGACGTCAGATTGTAATCAGATAATAATCAGTGCAAACATCAATCAAAAACTGCTCCGTGTTATCATATCGGCCAACATCTCTTAGAGTTGAGGAATTTGGCAAGGTAGCTTTAAGTTTTATCCAAGTTTTGTTGTTGCGCTAACACTGATCGACAGGTTTTCAATAGCATCCCAATGGCCTATTGTCGCGCCTGCCGCAAGGACCCATCTTCAACAAAATTGGCCGTCTATGGAGGTACAATTTATGCAGATTTTGCTGTTCGAGGCAGCTATTGCTTTTTATTTATTATTATTATTATTATTTCTGGCCAGGTTACTTAACTTCGTGGCAAAAGAATCCTTCAGCTGTTAGTTGAACTTCTCTAGCTTTGCAAATATAAAATATTGCATGACTCGTTACTTTGTTACTATGACTTAAGTATATTCGTGGATTTAATCACATCAATCGGGCAGTATATATTATTCGCGGGGCTCGAAGCGACCTTAGGTGTGAACGTAAAAGCTATCGTGCCGATATCTATGTAGATACAACGTACGCGGTAACGATGTATATTGATTGCTACCCCAAAGAATTGTGTAAAAAAAAAAAAATCGTACCGGTACACCTTAGTAAGAGGCTAAGTCGAAGCAAGATCATGATGCATGCTCCTATAAAATGCGTTTGAGGAAGAGTTAGAAGGCTTTATGGATAAAGATCTTCAACCAAACTACAGATTCATTCACCTCGTAATAGGATACACTTAAATAGGTAATTGTGGTGGGTAGCGCTTATCTATATATTTGCCAAATAAAGGTAAGGATAATTTGTATTGTGTGTTCAGAAAATATTTTTATCTGAAAACCTTGATGTGTCGTACCTAGCATTTCTATGGCTTTTACATCGATCAATACCACAGTTTTGAAGATCGTCTACATGTATATATAAACTACATATATTTTACCTATATATATATATATATATATATATATATATATGCCGCAATAAGAGAAATAATAGCGGGTTTGCTTCACTTATAAACGTTTTGTTCTATCAAGTTGATTTATAATAGTTCTCCTAAATTCACATGAAAGCCATCATGAACTATCAACGGCCACGTAGCTATACAAAAACAACCCACTTTATCTATCGCTTGAATAGAATCATCTTTAATTAGCATCACTTCGTTTTCAGCCTCACCTGATCCCAGTTATACACTGTAGACAGAGCGTCGTTGGCTTTCATATATAACCGCTGTTTTACATATTCACACGTGTTTCTTTGCCTCGCACATAAAGGCAAGGGGCAATTAGTTGCAGAGCATTCACAAATACAAAGCCTCAATCCAAACTATTTGGCGTTTCGATCGATGTGCGGGCCATATGTTTCCGAATCTATCAATAAAAATTAGTAGCTTTAATATTGCTAATTAGGTTTTTTAACGGAAACATTATTCTGAGAACCGACAAAATCGTGCGCGCAAGAGTTACAAGGAACTTCAAAGGATACTTGTGAAGCAACGGACTGTTTAAACTATGGATGCAATTTGTTCCTCAAATGGTGCCCTATCTGAGCCGAACGGCAAATACCTGCTCAGTGTTTTCAAATAATATTATTATAATTGTGGGGTAATGATATGCACGATGCTTATTTAATGACCATGCATCCCTCACATGGAACATGCGATATAACGCGTTTCGCTGTCCTTTTTAACAGCTCTGATCGATCTGTTCTCGCCTCGACACGCAAACACCTGAGGAGGTTTGAAAACGCGGTTTAGGCAAAAAAAAAAAGTGCTCACACTATTATAACAAGATCTGTTCTACCCTGAACACGTGTTGTTCACTCACCGAAAGAAATCGAGCTGGCGTCTTCCGGGAAATGTTCGTCCCCGCGCGTCACTTTCCGGCTGCACTTCTTTTTAAGAGACCAGTTCTAGCCGGCGATCTACCTGTCCAACGTTAAGCTACACGCTCCAAGTGACGATTTGGCTATCACTGCTAAAGCGCACCACGCGTTAAAGAAGTTCGCAGGTAGAGAAGGGCGCGTAAACGTCACACTATCAGGTCGATGCCTTCCATTCTGCTCGGCACTAGGTTTCTGAATGCGGCTGTCTGTGGGAGAGAAGTGTTTATTCGTGCAGGTTTGTGACGTCAGAATAACCGCGAAAAGTACGACTCCTATTTGTTCTGTTCGAGCTCGGCGCAGCAGCAGTCTAGCTGACTAACCCGGTATGGCTTTGAGAGTCCTTAGACGATTTCAATATGCAGCCCCAAGTCAACGCTAAACGCTTTGGCAGGACAAGCTATTTCATGGCCACAATTTTCAAGTAGTGAAAAAAACAATAGCTTCACTGCTTGTCATTGCGAGAAGACCGCTTTTGCAATTAGGTAGTATATTGATTGAGCGATCGTTCCTGCGAGTTTCCTGCGAAAACAGCAGATTTCTTGTTAGAAAAGCGTATGCATTACTAAGTAATCTAGTCTGTCTGCCTACACACTGTAGCCTTCAGCAATTGGCTTTCTACGGTGAATGAAGTGACCAACGTACCGTCAACTGAGAGTTTCCCACGTATTTAATTAAACTAAAGGAGTGTTGTTTTTCAGATGAAGATACATACTTCATTTACCTTGCTGTCGCTCATATTTATAGTAGTGCCTTAAAACCAGACATAATCGTTGACGATGGGACCAGTAGCGGCTAAACGTCAGCCATTACATGGCTAGTGGCCACAGATTGGGCAACTAGGAGGTATTTGATTAGTAAGGGATTTGGTTTGAGCTGCTATACGACGGGTACGGCAAAAATGTAATGCCAAATCAGAGGCTTTATGAAAGGCTTGTTTAAGCATTGCTACGAAAGAAAAACAACTGATATCATGGTTTCTAGAACAGATCCGAAAGAGTATGAACAAACGAAAAAAACGAACGTAAATAATAATGCGCGATAATTATATTCGGGACGGCAGAACACTATCTGATTGAATTGATCGAATCGTTATACTATATGCCCACCTTCTATAGCTATGAAATAGTACGCATGCATATCCTTCTGATCTCCCTAGACAATTGTGTCCGGTAACTAAAGTCGTCTATAATAAGTTCGCGTCATTTTAGCGTACAACGAAAACGCAAGTTCTGAGATCGTGTGTCGAACGTTCTTATTGTGGACTATATATGGTTATTTAAAGTTTCAGTTCGATACGCCCCAAGCATTGTCGCATCGTTTCGACTGATGCCAAATAAGCCAGCCGTCTGAATTCAGTACGTTACGGCACAGATATTTTGTGATAATAATTCCGCCAGATAGTAAGAAATTAAATTACAGTTTCATTTAATAATATGGCAGTACCATTTTATCAAATTTTTTATTAAAGTTGAAAGCAATTTATTTCATACAGTTCAAATTTTACAGCTGGCAAACGTTTCTACAAGATCCTTACGTAGATTCTCCAATAGAAATTGCTTAATATCTATGTATATAAACACTTGCGTAAATGTTCATCTAAAAGCCGGCCCTGATGTGGGCCACTGTGGGTTTTCACAAGAAAAAGATTCTCTGCGGAAGATAACTGAGTTGTGCTGGTTATCAGATTTACGTGCAGTATAAGCTTACGATCCTTGCTTTAAATTAAATCTGCCGCTATATTGTTTTTAGGATCAACGCGGCTTGAAACTCGTAGATGACTGCAGTTGATCGGTCGTAGTCGTAACGTTTTTCTTCTCGCCTTTTTAAGGACGCAGAAAGGTACTCCAGGTTTCTGTCTGTCCTGAAATATAGTGCTTACGTTGACGGAGTTTGCTGCTAACATGAATTACATCAATAGTTTGCCATCCCCTTAACTTGTTCACGGTTGATTTTTGACTGCATTTGGCCAAAGAGAGCGTGCTCTCTACTCAAACAATAACGTGCCTGACAGCGCCCTGTCGACACCGTTCTTTGGAAGCAGCCTTAGATTCTGGCTTGCACGTTTCTTTTCATTCTCGTTGCCACGAAGTTACTACGTGATGCGGGATGATGTCTGTGCACGACATCCAGCACTGCAAGAAACTGCTCTCGCATGAAGCTGATTTCTGATTTGATGGGTAATTCTATTCGATACTCTGCCAGTGGTAAAGCCGGAGGAATTTTTAATGACTATCTCTAGATCTTAGAAGAATGTAATTACCGCCGCTCCAAAATTGTTAGCGGCTCCTTCTTGTAGGTTTGACTTAGGCCAAGATGGACCGTTCTACAACGGATAAGTGGGATCTGCAGAATAAAGCCCAGATATCTCCTTCTCTGATGGTTGCACTCGTTGCTGTAAGAGTAAAGGCAGCATCCTAGTTCTTCAAGGAGCGCAATTCTGAGGTCAATTTGCTTGTGGCAAGATTGCATTGACGTCCTATCATCTTAGCAGTGCCCTTACGCTTAGGGGGGACTTCTTAATACGCCTTTGCCAGGATCGATCGGATGAGAAGATGAGAGGCTTTTCGATAATTTAGGTCAACAACAGCCGCAACTTTTGTTATAATCTCATCGGAACTTAGTGGACTGTACTCAGTCCTTGGTTTGTTATACACACAGATGTCATATGAAAAAGCATAGGCTTGGCCCTTTGACTATCGCCCTTCGTTTTAACAATATCTTTGCTTTGTGGCTCGCACGAATCCCAAATACGTTTTGTTTGCTAGCGATGCTCGGTGCAATAATAGCGTTTGAAGCCGGAAACATTATATATGTTCATCCTAGTAAGCGTGGACAATAAAAGCCAGCACCTGAATCTCATTAAACAAACTACAAAAATTAATCTTTACCAATATTATAATTAGGCCAATTTTAAGTGGACGAGAGATGAACCATTGATACAGCCTGCAGTTGAAGTAATACACGTAGAAAAATTAGTACTTCTATGTTCCGCGCTTCGAAGACGACGATCCAGTGTGCACGGCCCTGTCGCCCCGCTTCATTATCGCAGTTTTCAGTTAAAGCCCTAGCATGATTCGTACCGCAAGCCCTGATTGCTATCGCTTTCATGAGAAGGTAACGTGAGCTTATGATCGATCGACAGGACAAGAACTAGTATATAGGTATTCCCTGATTAGACCGTTTCAGTTTTATGCTGGCTTTCTATATAGAGTATATCTTTTTGCAACATTAAAGAAACATAAGACATTTTATTATTTTCGCAATGTGCCTCTTACATATCTAATGGAAGTGTACACGATTTAGGCGCGAAAAATTTAAAATTCATTACTAAGTACCCGCCTACTATCACTTATAATTAATCGAATAACAACCTATGTTCAGCCGTTATTTCCGCGGTCACGGACAGTTACTTCCGATACGAGGAACTCATTTGCGGCTCATCAGTTGTCAAGAACTTGATTAAAACTTCTTGTTATAATTTGCGGCTTAAGCTACACCGTTTACTGATTTAGTCAGGATGGTTGCACTTGTAACTCACTGACTGAAAAACCTAGGGCCCGCTACTGCTAGGCCTGCCGTGAATCAGAGACAGTGTGTCCAAAAATCATGTATCAATCCGAAAACGAATGTCGGTAAAGGGTATTCGCGCCACAGGGTAGATTTAAAATTTGTCGGATGCCACTGACATCAACAGTTTGCGAGATTGCCGTTTTCTGTACCGCTCCCCAAGTATTCAAGAAAGTTCTTCGTATAACAATATAAAAAAATAGATAATGTAAAATAGATTTAGAAGTCTCGAAAAGCATACTAAAGACGAGAATGCTCTTATCTTTATTGGTGTTTTTTTTCAGCTATGTGTAAGCAGTGTTTGTGAATAGCTCAGGTACGAAATTGGTAAGACAATAATGCCAAAGACAGGATTTGGTTTCTTGAGTCTGCCTTCCTAAGCACTTTTAGATATATCTATAGTACACAGAAGTATTCGTTCATATCGGCTTAATTTTCTGCTAGAAAATCTTCATATCTGAAGTTTAAGTCAGCTGAAAAAATTACTGCTGACTCGTCTACGAATGTTTTCAATGTTAAACCAGTTCAGCTAATTATTGACACATTTATGGATAGAACACGCACCTGCCTACAGATGAACGTGGTTCGATCTTTTCATTTAACAACATTTTCAAGTTTTTACGTCGCATCTTAAAATTTACGGGAAAACGTATCACTTTAGAGGTAAGACCTCTGGCTTCGTACTGCGTTATTTAGATGTTATATGAGGATATACGATGATTTTAACAGAACTGCACAAACGCTACTAACTTGAACGCGATTCAGTGGAACGTAGTTCAGCGATTAAGCGCCATAAAGCTGGACTGTAATTAAATGACTAGCTCTAGCATATAAAACACAGATGCCTGCAAGCGCCACTGATGACCAGTGATCATTCCATGGCCTGCATCAAGTCCTACTAGTATAATTAACTAGTAAACCTAATTTCATGCTGCCTCGCTATATTTGTACACTCCATTCAGTTACAACTTAGTTAGTGCCTGCTTCTGGCAAACAATGGCGAAATTGGAAATTAATATTTTGCTGAATGGTATGAATGGAATGAACAGGTACAAAAAAAACTGGTTCACGGCAGTCTTTTCGACAGAAACTGGATTTTTAGACATTTGAGCAGTTGACCAAGCATCTTCTGCTTACAAAGCATCCCAAATTGTAGCCTATTGTGCGCCGTGTATTAGACTGGTAACCCAGTGGGTATCGACTTAACAAAGGCATGTTATTCACGACTAATTTTAAATGGTACTTTGTGAATTTCAAACAACAGTAGCCAGTGGACTACAAAACACACACACACACCCTCGGGTAAGAAGTTACCAGCGACAAAACCAGCGACAGCTACACACGGCAAAAGTCTTCTTCAGGGATGCTTTTTGAAGTTTTCAAAAAATTCTTCTAAGTACTATTTTTAAGGAAGTACATGGCTACGGAAATTGAAGTTAATTAGCTAGGATTTATTGGCGCATCCCGCATAGGTCTGATAAAAATATTTTTGTTCTAGCGATTATGTATACGGGAGAAGGTGCGCAGTGCATATTTTTCGAAAGCATTGCGGACGTTCACCAAGCATTAGAGAAACTGGCCAAGACTCTTGAACGAAAACTTTTTTTTTTTTAATAGACAGCCCACTTCAATGATTTTAGGACAGATTAACACAAAAATTTCATGAGTCTTGTTGAAGTTAGAAGACCATTGACCCGTACACCATGTACTGACATAAATTGTCAATGTTTCCAGTTTTACGTCCGGTATCATTTTTAGGCATAATTCTATCAAGCGGGACGTTAACCCTCTCAGAAAGAGACAACCCGGCTTGATACCCACATAGCGGTTTCATGAAGCTTCTCGACAGAGTTTCTAGAAACGAGTATTGGCATAACATTTTAAAGTTTTTAAAGCTCGTCTTCTGGCTCGAATTTCGGTTTTCCTTCATGAATATATGCACGCCTAAACTCGGCAGAGATCCCAAGTTTGATTATTTAAGCATCTATATGCTAAAGTACGAGATCAAAGTAAGCTTCGTGCTACTACAAACTAAGTAAATAAAACAACAGTGAAGTGACTATACGTTAGTTTCCGAGAAACATTTGTGAATTTATTAACTTGATGGCTGGAGTACAACTATGACGAGGCACAAACATTTTTGCATGATCTTGGTTCCCTGCTATCGTAAGATAGATAAATAAAATGATGAGGAGAGCGTATTGATAAATCCTTAAGGGACCGGTAAATCTTACGCTGACACTTTGTAAATTTGTAGCTTACGCTAATGAGTTCACATGAACCGGTTCTGAATGTACCACTGAGTCCTCCGCAGGACGTATCGCTTGAAGAGTGGATAGTGTTTATAATTACCATTTAACAAATGCTTTTATTAAGGACAATGGGAAACTTTTAGTGGCACATATATATGTATACTTCGTTCCAGCAAACGTCGTTAACTGTTGTAACCAATACAACTTTTTTGAAATCTTATCTAATTAATAAATAATCTAAAAGCCTGTCTAATTCCCTTACGGAATGAAGTGTCCATGAATATAATGAGTTCGCTTGGACTTCAGTTCCATGAAATCTACTTCTACCCACGCGCAGATTTAGTTTTCCACATTTTCCGGAATGTCGGACGGGTAGCTCCCCTTCAAAAAAGTGAGTGTTTATCAGCTTGCTATCATGCTAATTAAAACTTATTTTCAAACCACTTTTGTATAATTAAGTTTAAGTAGAAACTTAGGATTAGTTTAAATACGGGCTCAGTATGCTCACGCAATTAATAAGTAGTTCCCTCATTGTCAAATTTGACTTCAAATCATGCTGTAAGTTATCATCTGGAAATGTAAAAATGCAGGATAAATAAAACACTGTTTTCGTGTCGAACCTCACGCTTGATACTCTCCACACAAAAAAGCAACGTCTTCATTAGCAATGTTTGCAAGAAATAAATTACGCGCTTTCTTATAATAAATTACGCGATGTCTTAACGTAGTTGTCCATGATATCGAGGGGAGGTTACCACTTTGGGTCGATGCAGGCATAGCTTAAGCTGCGAGAAAGTTTGATGCCGCGGTTTGTATCCATAGTCTGTGCTGATTGGAGTGGAAATAAACCGGAGGTTTTGTTGTAACAATGGGATACAGAGGATCGTGCTGTTAGTCTAATCGCCTCGGAAGCGTTTGTTGTTTCGGAAACGGATGAACGGGAGTTGTACAGCTCCAAAGTTGCCAGGAAATCGGTCGGCCTGTCAGTTTAGTTGTCGTTTAACCCTGCTGCATGTGCACGTTATTCGCCGGACAGCGCACAGTGCAGCGGTATATTAGCGGCAGACAGGCACACGTTAACGTTGTTTCGAGAAAAAAAGATGGATCGGGAAGATAAAGTAAAGGAATATAGCAAAAAAAAAAAACTACTAATAAGCAGAGGAGAGATATAAGGGCAAATGTATGAGCTAAAACAAACAAATTATGAATAACATTAGAAAAAATGATGACCATGACATTTTAACCTGCTGACTTTTGGACCAGATAGCACGTATATGCTGGGATCTGAATTATCTATGGACGGGATTGAGTACTTATATCGATACTGATTATTATGCCACTACGTTTCTTGGCTTATCACCTTATTGATACAAAATCTCTGTCCAAAAGCCTACAAGCATGCTTCTATAAGCAAAGTCACCGCACAAAGGAGGCGAATCGATTATACCTTCGAAAGGTATGCTAAATCTAGGGAATCATTGTTATTATTACGCTTGTGTCTGAGTAAAATGACAGACAACTTACTTGACCGTTCCTATCGGCTGAGACATGCAATAAAACTGCCTCAGTCAATTTTCTGCGTGATAAATTAAAAAAATGTTTCATCATTCTATGCACTTTGCGGAACCTGCTACTAGTGTGCTCTGTTACGGAGGAATCTACCCTTCCCTCAGAAAAACCAGATTCAGATGGCTAGGAGGAAAAGTATCCCACAACGGTATTACCATTATCAGTCACTGCTCTGCCTCATACCAACAACGGGCTCGCTTGGAAATCAGCAACGCAGGTTATTGATTCGAATACAGCATGACAGTAGGGTACAGACGAGAAAACCACGGAAATCTTAGTTTTTCCAAGGAAAAATTGTTGTTTCCAAAAGTTCCAAAGAAAATAAGTGACCACACATTATAATGAGTAGAAATCTATCTTACTGTTGATCGCTATCAGTCTAATTAACTTGATGATGCATTTAATTTTAAATCCGAATTTAATTAAATTAACCACATTTCTTTAACCGTACTAACGTTCAGGGTATGGACATGTTAGCATAATAGCCGAATAGTAGCTGAAGGCCCAAGTCGTATTATAGTATTGGCGATAAATTGGGCCTTGTTTACAAATGGACTAGCCGAAAAGGTTTAGACCATCAGTAATGTAACACAAGTATACAACGTTTATAGAAACATTAATTTATTGTTAATTTACATATAACATTAAGATGTAACGACTAGAATATTTACAGTGTGCTTCGTGGATCGATGAATACGGGTCGGCAACGGTGTTCCGTCGACCCGTCAACGTAGTAAATCAACCTCCGACTAATATTTATTTTTAACATCTCGTCACTTTTACCGAATATATGTAAGCTTCGGGGAGGCCCAAAAGCAGCATTTTTATTTCGTCTTTAAACTTACAGAATTTCTTGGCAGCACTTTATTTAAGGTTATCTTTAACTCTACTTATTTAGGTCTAACCGGAACTCGCAGGATTGCAACCTAAAAGACACCATCACCAAGCTGGCCAGGGACTAACGAGCCTATCGTTATTAGGTAATGATGATGGGAGCTTCAAATAAAAGCGTGGCCTCAAGGTAGCCGGAAGAATATACATCTAGCGAAATGGAAATTATAGGATAGTGAGGATAAGGCCCGGTATCGCGGGCGAGGATCTCCTCCATTTCTGAAACGTCTCCAAATGGTAGAGTTAATGAAGCAGCTACCAGATAACAAATGGGCGCTAGACGCTAGACTTGTGTGTCAAAGAATACTTACACCTTTAAGAACTTTTTTTGAAGATCATGCGGCCGTTGATGATCTCAGGCTAAAAAGGCTATCTGAGTTGGAGGCCCTAGGCCAGATAAACACGGTTCGGGTCCAAACACCAGAAAAAACAGGTCGAGGGTAAAATATAGCAATATAGGAAAGTGTATAGCGAATATTGACATTCTCGTTACGCATCACTTCCACCAGCGGTAATACCCCACATGAAACATTCAATAAACTAGGGACGTCTGCTACTAAGGACTAACCTTCGTTTGTTAAACGGGAGGAAATCTTTGGCACTGCTCGCAAGCCGCACCAGCGCGGCCGCAGAAAAGGTTAGAAACATAGAATAGTTGTAGACGAATGAGGCAAGTTGATAGACGAAAGTATGAGACATGAAAGAATGAACAGGAACACACAGGAACAGAGCAAGTAAAGAACTAGAACGAGAACAGAAAGACTGGAAAAAAATCAAAAACGATAAGAGAAAGGAGTAAATTATAAGAGACAGGAAACTTTGACTCATTGCATAGTTGGGCTATATGATGGAAAAGGGACAAAAGGGTAGATAGCAGGCTTAGGGAGGTTAGATTAACGTTGAGGGCTTAGGGTCACGCCACGAGACGATACCACGCTACTAATGACACTGTCACGTCTAGGGACACACAGCACATATTTGATGGTTTGCGGATAGTCGAGAAGCGTCGGAGTCTTCAGCCGAGGTCAGCAATAGGAAGGATAGTCTTCGAGAAAGAAAGTTAGCAGCCTATTGGAAGCTTTGCCCCTGTCCGCTATAACCTTTTCCGTAGCCGACTGAAGGCGAGGCATACGATGATTGTCCGTACGAGCCGGCAGGTGCAGTTTGGTAACTCTGCTGGCTAGCAGAAGCTACATGTTCTGCGCCCACAGATGAACCCCCGTAGCCTTGGAAGGCTGAAGATGGCGCAAATCCAACACTGTTCCCGGGATAACCGCCGAACGAGTTCGATCCAAACTGACTGAAAGTTGGATAGCCATACGAAGCCGCGCCAAATGGCGAAGCTCCCTCTAGACTTGATCCGGCTGATCCTCCTCCATACCCTCCGTATCCATATTCACTGAAGCCGCTGTAACAATATGTGATTCGTCAATATTCGATAGTTTAAGCTAAATCGTATTGATCACGATCGTGTTCCGATGTTAGAATCTTCTGGTAAATCCGGATATATCAATGATACCGATTTGCATTACGCTAGTCATTCGGGTGTTAATGCTTTGCACAGGATCGAAAACATAAAGCTAGATCATCAGCTCAACTAACAGATCAAGAGAAGTATGATTAACGCTGAACAAGAACATATTCATAGTCAGTTGACTAATTGGCGATAGCACGAGAAGCTATTTTTGAACCTCATCCTTCAACTCACAGTTAGCTTCTTCACGTTTCTGTTCAAAGGAAATCCAACAAGACTCACCCAGCTGGTCTGAATCCAACTGGCCCATGTGGGGGCGAACCGGGATATCCTCCAGGCACCGGTTCAGGTTGATGTTGATTTAGTGGTGAAGGAGATTCTTTCTGTTGCTGTTCGCGATTTCGTAAAGCGCGCATAAGCCCAGCACTGGCCATTAAGCCAAGGAGTCGTTGTGAGGACACCTGTTCGGCCACTAGGGCCAGCAGAAGGGCTAAGCACAGCTTGGTCTTCATCTTCTGCTTCGCCAGCTGCCTACTGTCTTCAGCTCCTCAGAGTACCGCAAGCTGATCAAGCGGTACTAACTTTCGATTGTGAAGTATTCGCTAGTCGAGCGGATTGTTTTGTAGCCTGGTTGCCCTCTCCTAGACGGGGCGAGAGCCGTTGATTATGGCCCTTCCGGTGCCGGAGCGTCGGTAAACCCCTACAGGGGTAGCGACAGCAGCAATGGCTTAAGGGCTAAGCTGAAGGAATCACCGTTTGGTGAAGGAAGTTCACTTTCGTTGAGGCGCCCTCGCCGCTGCAGTCGCAACTATCGTCGCGGTATTGGCTACCGAAACCGTAGTCGCGACCGCACGAAGACCGGATGTGAAGGAAGACGTCCCGGCCCTTTCGATACCCCAATGTGCGGTCAACGCCCCTGATGACCATACCTGCCTAACAGTCAGTATCCACGACTCACACCTCTTGGATAGCGGCGACTGCACCGAGGCTATCATACAGATCATCGCCAGTCAACGGACACACATACATACAGACACACATTAACGACGACAAAGAAGAAGAGGTTATCACCGCAGAACGAGCTCACGGCAGTACATAGCTCACGTATTATTGGCAGTAATGGCGGACACTGAAGCACTGTGGTGTATTGTATCAGCACCGAGGCGCCGGGATATGCAGTGATTCGATGAACGTACCGCTGCTGCACCAATGCAACGTCACTGTTTAACCAACATGCTTTCCTATCCGCACCGTGATAGATACCGGCTACAGTGGGAAAATGATCAGGAAGGCTCTAGTATACAAATAAGCGCAATAGGGCAATGCGGTCTTTCATGAGATCATCATTATAACACTGACAATGAACGTTTTAACGTAGAAGGCATAGCTTTTGATTATTACACTTTGTTTGTTTTTTTTTAATTTTTCTCTATCGAACTGTTTATTACATTCTCTTGCTATTTAATTATTTACTTTTCCGCTAGGTAGCGGCATTGAATAGCGGCGATAGTACAAAATAGAGAACACAGGTATAATTTGTAAGTTAATAATCTTATAGTTCTTAGATTAATAATCGTTATGTTATCTATATATTATATAATGTAATAATATATAACTATTCTAGTTAGCCGTTCTATGTAGTTTGCCACCAAGGTTCAAATCTTTTGGGGTTCAAATAATCTTGGAAAATTATTTCTAATTATTTGATTTGTAAACATCTGTCGGGGTCTGAGTATATTTTTCTCCGACAAGAGTAAGCTTACGTACCCTGGAAATAATGCACTACCGGATGGCGATAAATTGGGTTATTAAAAAAATTAGGTGATGCTAGCAAAACTTAAATCCTAACTAATATCTAACAAAAACTAGTTATATAGACCCAATGTAAATATTATTCTTCGTATGTGATGGAAACCTAGAGTACGTCAACCTTTGTTTCCATGGGCCCTAGTTGAGGTAAAATGAATGGTTTGCTTTTGACCGATTAAACCATTTGATTGCTTTTAAAATACTACACTTTCAATAACCTTGTACGCCAGGACATACGAGGAAGATTAACACTAGGATAACACGTAATACCCAGCTGCATATATATATATATAGCCGATTAAAATTTTTTTATTTATAACCGCAATGTGAATATTGTCTGTTTTCGAGTTAGTCAATATGGTATCGTTTACAAAATACCGTTTGTAACGTAAGTAGAATCCAGAATGTCGATATATACGCCCAGTCTCTATACAACTCACCTACTAGATGTTAAACCGCTATATCATAGTTTTGACATAGGGAATGCCGTAAGGTCCAAAGGAACCGAATTACTTTCAGGATTTAATGGATAATAATTGGAAATGTTTTTTTTCTTTTTTTTTTAATATAAACAATTTACTTAATGAAAGCCTAAACAATTTTTTATTCAATTCTTGCCCGATGTCGCGCATAAATCCTTGCCTGACGTTTTCATTCGAAATTTATCATAACGAGCTTTCATTAAAACAAAAGGACCACAAAATTGAAGCAACCCAAAATACTAAAACATTCGAAAAGGTCAAAAGGAGTAAATCGTTGAATTCAGCCTATCAACTCGGTAGGCTTAAAGAAACGCCAGTGTCCGCATCGGGGTTCTGGGGCCAGGATGATTGTCTACATTTTTTTTTGAGGAAGCTTCGAATCATCGTGGTCTTAGGCCATACTACTTACCGGCGTAGACTTTGTGATAAGTTATGTTTGGAGTGTCAACGATCACAATGAGTCCATGACCTTTTTCAGAACGAACAAACATTTGATAGTAGCCACTTGTTGATGGCGAGCATTTCCAGAAAAAGGTTGAGCTGCCGCACCACGTAAGTACCGAAGGTTAGGTTGAAATAAGCTCGGCGGGTGCAAAAACATTTTAGGTTGTTCAAGCAGTGAGTCAACAAAGACGGGCTTTTTGTTTTTACGGATTTTTAGCTGTGTTTAGATCCGTTTTTAGCTGTCGTGCTTTGAGCAGTAATGTTACAGAAAAGGTACGTAACAGCAGATAGATAGCATGAAAACAGCGTGCAAAAATAGGTTCACTACATTACAATTTGTACTCTCTTGTATAGAAACACTATAGGGCTCTTATATTTAGTCGTCATAAGTAACCAATATCACTCTAGGTACTGTGTAACAAAAAAGTAACTTGTATAATTAGTATTAAATGAACGATTTATGCACGTGGTAGCTTTACTAACTTAAGAAAGGGTCGTTCATTATCTTGAAATGACTGACCCTTTCACTTTAGCATTGAATGTCTTTTATAGTGGATTATGTTTTAAAGCGGGAAAGAATTTTCTGATTTGAAGTTATTTAAAAAGAAAAAGCTTTTTTTTTTTTTCTTTTTTTGAAGTTTGTTAACCTGTTGTTCGTATATATTTCTTCACATTTGATCGTAGTGTTTTTACATTTTTTATAAACTGACACTATACATGTAAAGAAATTAGTATAACCGGTGTGGCTTCCATATAGTGTTGCAGATCACATTGGAAAATTAATTTGTGTTCCGTCATATGAATAGATCAGCGATAGAGTAAGCTTATCAAGAGATGTATTGTCAAAAACCTCGCTGACTGGCCACAACCGGTACAAAAACAATCCCTATCAGTATCAAACTGCTACAGATTACATGGCATATATATACGCACTCAAACAATACGCCAACTATCCTCATATCTTAATATACAGCTTGAACTTTGCAGACTGAGGTTCCTATTTTAGACCCCCAGCTGATACTCAATTCAGTCTATTATAGACTTCGCGAAACACAGATATTTATACATTTATGAATAGAGAGTGCTCATTGAAAGAAAAACGGATGAAGAAAAATTGTTTTCTTTTATGAACAAAGTAATATCACATTTTGCGATTTATGCCTATCAGTGTATAAAGCTTAGTTTTATAAAGTTTATTGTAACAAGACTTATCAATACTCATTTACTTACATTTAACTTCTGGTTGAAGACGTTATCTCTGACAACGAGTTTATACACTTCAAATCATGCTTCAAATCTGAATGTAAACCTAGAGCTTGGAGTCTCCTAAAAAGACGAAAAAGCTTCTGAAATTAAAAGATTCATGTATATAGAAATATATGGTCTGGAAAATTTGGTTCCGTTGGTTCAAAAAAGAAAACTAGTTGTATCTAATTTGGCCCGGGACGGGACTTATTCAATGTGTTTTGTTAAAAGAAAAAAGTAAAAATAAATAACAAGAAATAAAAAATAATAATAATACTAAACATTTTTATATCTGCTAAATGCATACACTATAACACCTAGAAAAAGGCTATTTTCTTTAACCTCCCCCTACGGTCGCAAATATACTTGCAACGCAACGGCGCAAAAAGCCCGAAAAATAGGTTGCAACTTTAGGGACCAATTTAACATCTCAGCATTAGCAATTAGCATCAATCATCAATCACGAGGTTGATTTGTTGCCGGATTACGGTAATCTGCTTAATCCGAATCGTCGACAATACCCGACATCTCAAGCAAGAAAAAGAAGAAGCAACAAAGCTGCCTGACCGGTTAGTTGTGATCGTTTGTGTCAAAAGTACCCAAATAGGACTACTCACGCTCGTCTAAACAAGAAAACATAAACAAAGCTCGCTCGTTGCACGTAAGGTCGTTACTGTGTGTGTTATCCTTATCTTAAAGAGCTGTTTCAGTTGCCTATCCAATTCCAGAGGGGCATACAGTGGCTACCTATAGGCATTTTGTTCAGGTGACCCTCAGTTGTGATTAGTCGGTCACCGAATGGTCAAATCTATTCGTCTGGGGACCGTTCCTTGACCGCCCATATTGGCTATATCATCGCAAGCCGTTACCGCGATTGTGGCACAATGGCTACGTCACTATCATCACCATGGCTATGATTTCTGCTGCTACTGTTAGCGTTGCTGCTAACAGCACTCCAGGCATTTATCGTACGCGCAGCCCGTTCTTGGCTGTCGCCGCCTTTGCTGATGCTGCTGCTGCTGCGCAGCAGCAGAAGCAGCAGGAGATGCTGCTGAACGGAGAAGAACGGCACAGGTAGTGCTGCTGGCGGTTGTGATTGTTACACAATTTGCAAGGATTGGACTGTTTCGTCGCTGTTATGTCTGTCGTTGTTGTCATCATCGTTGGCGCTTTTGCCATCTTGGTTGTTGTTCCAGTCCGGTTGCGATCTCGCCAGCAGCAGCAGCAGCAGCAGCATAAGCAGCAGCGCAAGCTTATGCCTGGGGCCAGATCGTGGCTAGATCACGTAACCAGCTGACCCGAAACCGCTTCGTTGCCTCGGCGGGGTCGCTGGGAACGTCCAAATAGTCGTCCGGATGGTTGTCATACGCCCGAAGTCCGGCCAATGACCGACTATTCGACAGCTGGGTTGCCACCTGCTCCTCAACTGACTCCCCTGTTCGTTTGTCTGATCTATAATCAGACGACATTCATTCATGAAGTTAACTAGTCCGATGTTGGTGCTGTTGTATCGTTCTCTCAGCGTATATATTTTGCTTGTTGCTAATATGGTATACTACAATATGAAGAGGAGATGATTGAAAGAT